CTGGAACCCCAGCCTACGTCTAGTCTCCCGATGATGGAAAGGGGGAGGCGGAATTAAATAGTGCTATTCCATGGCACACTCTCCGTGATATATCTGTAGAATACCGATACGCTAGAACTTTACTGCGATTTCGAGGCTCAAAGTAGAAGCGAAACGAGCAACATCATTTTCGCACTTATTACTAGGACATAAAGCTTCTTCTGATCGGCTCAAGCGTCAGCTGCGGCAGTAATAGTCATAGTCATATTTCTGCGAAAAATATAAATTTCGTAATACTACAATTTAAAATTATTGTTATATTTATAATGTGATATAATAAAGAAACAATATGGTAATACCTAAAAAAATAAACAAAATATTCTCAAATTACAAGAACAGCTTTTTAGAGACCCATACTTAGCAGTGGAACGTATACCAATTGTTACAAAACAATTAACTATGTTTATAGAAACAAAATACCAAAAATGTTGTATCCGAAAAATTGCAATTTAAAGTTAGATTTCGACTCAGGTTTTATGACCTATTATCACAAAAATCATAATAATAAAACGCGCGTATCGCTTAATTACCTTTTATCAACCGAATTCGAATTATATAACGCATGTAAACGATTTGCCAGTACTAGGCAGTCGTAAAATTCAATAATCCTTGGAACAGACACGTGCTCTGCAGTGAGACGTATATGGATCAAGTCGTATCCATGTCGGCGTTTTCAAAGTGATAGCCAACGCGCTTGCCAAGCAATCGTGGAAAATATAATGCACAAGGACGATCGATAGACGCTCTCCTGGAGAAGCACCGGAGTTCTATCAGGTTTATCCTACCATGTATAAGAGTAGCGGATCTGGTCTCAGGTTCTTCCCCGGCCTTCAACTGGAATGTCGTCGAGTGTCGAGTTCTCCAGTCGAAGCGAATATTTCGAATCGATTTAACACACCTATACTGATTTGGACTTCGCCCGATCCGCAATTTAAGTTCCAGAATCGCCATAAAAAAACAAGAGTATTTGAAAACCCTTATTACTTTGTTTATATTAAAATTGCAATCTAAACCCACAAAATATTTTGTAGTCGTTCCATAAACAAAACTACTAGAATCCTCGAAAGTTAAATGGATAATGATTGTCTACCTCCAGTTGTTTTTCAATCGAGAGTTTTACGGATTTTGCAAACTTACAACTTTACTTTTTCGATCACTGAAGATTACACTGGTGTGCGAAAAAATCAAACCAACACTGGCAGCTTGCGGCGAGTACTACTCTGCGTACTAAACTGCGTTTTTTCACAGATGAGTCTTGCATTAATAAAAAATTAAATTAAATTATGAAAAACATTTGGCCTGAAAGACCATTACTTAAAAGTATGAGGTTTTAATGAGGTTGTAGTAGGACCATTGCCACCTCAATCATTTTCCTGGCTACTTTTTCTTCATTTATATACTCGCGCCTTGCCTTCGGAATTTACAAAAAACTAATGCAAGCCACTTAAAAAGCTTCTAGTGTAGTAATTGAAAGTGAAATTGGACACTTTTGCTCTTAAGTTTTGACAGCGTGGCGAGTTTAATAATTTTAACTAAAATTTATTCTTGTGCACCGAAGCATGGGGCGGGGTAACAAACTGTTCGGCCTTGCGTTAGTATTTTTGGTGATACATCTTTGGTATTTATTGCATAAAGATTATATTGTTGGAATTTACCGTTTGATAGTGTCAAGTAATGGCTTTGCAGCAAGTAGTAATTGTCGGGTTATTGACAAATACCACACAAAATAATTTTCCATTATCCTCGATATCAAAGTTCCACTCGTTGATGTACTGGAAACGGCTTTATTTAATTTTGTTACTGTTAGTATTTTAATACGACGTGCGAGATCAAAACTGTTATCCAGGGGACTTTTCCCCTGCTATCATATGTTTATTACATACCATTATGTTATGTACAAGATATGCAGTAACATGAATTACGATCATTATTGACCCTGTAAGGGCACAACAAAAGACAAAATCTGAATACTTTAAATTAATCACGCAAAATAGGCGCCTAGACCTCATGTTACGGACGCCAGCCCGTGATACCATACCATACCAAATTAAACTAGTTACGGACACCGGCCCCTGATACCATACCATACAAAATTAAACTAGTTACGGACACCAGCCATGATACCATACCTTATCAAATTAAACTAGTTACGGACACTGGCCCGTGATACCATACCATATTTAACTAGTTTCGGACACCAGCGCATGATACCATACCATACCAAATTAAACTAGTTACAGACGCCAGCCCGTGATACCATACCACACCAAATCAAACTAATAAATCTCATTCTCCTGCTAATTAATAACTCTTTTGCACGCTAATAAACAAATATCAGATTCAAAATAAATCCCGACAGAATAAAAAGATTGTGAAACATGTTCTTCTCGTCTTAATTATAGACAAACATGCACTCGAAATAGAAAGTGGTCTGCTTTTAACGTACGGAAATATTTCTGCTAATTGATAGAACCTGTTTTGTTTGATATCAATTCGACACGTTGCATAAGCCTTATTAGGTATGGATTACATTTACCAGACAGGAATCTATTTTTCGTAATTGATAATCGTCATAAGTTATCGTGCGATTATGTAGAATTTGTTAATACAAAACGCACGTTTCTAACAAAAAAATAAAATGATAATTCATTTTATTTCGTTTCGTACGTCAGAAACTTGATAAATAACGTTTACGTTACGTTTTACCTTAAATGGTCACTAATGAGCTGCAACATTAATAAGTCGTAAATGGATATACGGCTTTTTTTGGTACCTTGGCAATCCGGCGATTCTTCTGTACTATTCCAGGCCGTAAATATTACACATCTTGCTTAATCTATAACACCACGTAACATGATTTTTGTTTTCAATATGATTTCCAAGTTATCATTATGGTTTTCTAATTGGTTCTATCATAAAATCATGAAAAAACTTAATTTTCCTGCAAAATCTTTGCTTTTGTGATCAGGATAACGAAAAGTACAAATTTTCGGGTTTCTCTTTATTTAAAGACGAAAAGGGAAAATTATAATTATTTCAAATCAATAGTACATTTCAACTTAAAGAACCTAAAAATTAGTTTTGCGAGATTGTGTTATTATCACTATGTAGCTATGTAAATAATGTGACAGCCACAGTTTCTGTTTCAGAGGTATAGCTACTCTTTTCCACAACTTGCTGATCAATAAAAAGCAATACTGTCATACCAGAAACAGAAACTTTTAGAAAATTTCTTACATAGTGATCGACTGCCTTCGGATTTGTAGAGCGCCGTCTCCGTCGTAATATCCAAACTTAGAGGATGGAAAAAGTATCCAATCAATATTTGATCAACGACTGACAAATTAGCGGTTCAGCCGATCGTCTTTTTTTAAAGTTCGATGACATACGGCCTTGTAATTAAAACTTTCGAATTTTTATCAATGTCACTTTCTTTCCAATTTCATGTTTATAAGAGTCAAGGAAAGAAACTTTTGAATAAAGAAACGTGTAATTAAGGTTATTGAATGTTAGGATGTCTCACAACTATGATATTCAATTATTTTTTATGTGAAATTACTCCACTAGTTTGTTATAATTACTAATAAAGATCGAACACTCAGAAAGAAATCCTTCGATCTGGCTAGATTCGAACCAAAATCTTCTAACCTTCTTCTTCTTCGTTAAAAAACCAAAAAAAAAAAACATCTACAGCACATGGAAAATTCCGTAAAGTCCGCTAGTTCGTTCCGTCGCTTAGTTGGCATAGCGTCTGGCACGGTTTGCTAGAAGACGTTGGTTCCAATCCAGCCGGGTCGAAAGAATTTTTTCCGTGTTCGATGTTTGTATTACTAATGTTGAGTAACTTTTTATTCTTACTTTCTATTAATCTATTTATTTTATTTTTTAACAACTCACACACTCAACATAGCTCCCCACTAGGGAAAACCCTGTGTCGCGGGTGCCATGGACACACACATAGACAACCACAAATTACACCCAAACTCACAAGAGAAATAAATGTAGGCCATATAAATATTTCTTCCGGCCCGAGAATCGAACCTGGGACCTCTGCGTAGCAGTCCGGCATGGTAACCGTTCGGCCACGAAGGCAGTTCAAATCTATATGTGCGCAATGAAATTGTTGCTTTAATAATATTTTTTTATATAATATAAAGTGACAGAACGAACAAGTCGTGCGCCTGATTTTACAATCAGCTACACGCCTGTCCATAACAATTGCAGAGTCACTCAGAGCTTTAAATCGCAAAGCTCTGAGGGGCACTGCCACTGCGCCTGTCACTCTTAGACATAAGTTGACAAGTCCCATGTGCCTGTAATTTCACCAGCACCCTTGCCCTTCAAAACCGGAACACAGGAATGCTGACATTACTGTTTGGCGGCAGAAATAGGCAAGGTGGCAGTACTTCCCTGGACGAACTCTTATAATAAAAATCATAATATACTAGACAATCTTACCAATTACCTGGCTTTCGCTTTCTAAATTCACGACCTCCGGCATCAAGCGGCCCATATTGCTAACCACTATGCCACCGAGGTCGTCCTTTATTTACTCAATGATTGATATGATATTTCATTTTATCGATTAATGTGGCTTAACAGATTTATTCTCTTTTTTTTTCTTCCTAATGAATGGCTTGTGAGACTACATAGCCTCAATTCTGCCAGTGTCCGTTTTCTAGCTTTATAAACGTTATGGACGGAGTGATCGAATTTTGTTCGTTGACTCAGAGGGAGAATCGAAGAGACTTTTGCACGAATTGAATTCTAGAACAAAGGAAACGGCACAAATTAGACAACACAAGTCGTTAGAAACATGTATATATGTTAAATATAGTGTTAGTGCATGAATAAAATTTATTCTCTGATCACTTTGCATTAATATTTAAAAAAAATAAAACTTCATTAAGTGTCTTTGATGCAAGTATTACAATTTAATAATGCACATTTCTTTGTTTCAGCTGGATACAAGCGGCAACGGCTACATCGACCTTAAAGAGCTGAAGGACGCTCTTGACAGCGTCGGGTACAAAATTCCGCAATGGAAGGTTAGAATCAATAACATCATAACATAATAATATCATATTCAATATCGATGCCTTACTTTCTCAAACTCGTATCTTATAAAGAGTGATTATTTAGGAGATGGCAAAACTTTCTATTTATTTAAAATTTCTTATCTAGGGTATTAATTTGGATGCATTTCTTTAAGAATAGGTAAAATATACCTAAGTGCAAAAGTTTGGTAGTTAGATACTTTTTATCACGAATATGAACTTCACTGCACAACGCGGCCCTTCTTTCTTTATTACTTGTTGGGCGCTTCTACAATTTAGAATACATGGAATATTTTGTTCATTCGTCTTTCTCTTCTCCAATTCTTCCTTTTCCATTTACAAACTTTTCAAAACTATTATTATTGATACAAAGATCAACAAACACAAAGAAAAATTCCTTCTATCCGACTGGACTCGAACCAGTGCCTGTTGCTTCACCGTCGCTACCGACTGAGCAACAGATCGAGTGAGCAAATCTTACGAATTTCTTTATGTGCTATGGTTTAAACAGCTTTTTTTTACTATGTACATAGTATAATAAAAGAAGTATGGTATCTCCATACAAAAGTTGCAGAGAACGCTGCTTGTATGTGTGCGCGCCAGCCCGCCGCATGCCATGTACGGACGCACACTTTGCTATGCCAGCGCGAATGCATCGCGAGATTATGCGAATGGGTGCGTCGGTACACGGCACGCGTCGGGCACGCATACAAGCATACAATCCACGCTGCTACGTCTGTATGGAGTTATCATACCTGTCGTATTATGTAAAGTATGTACATAGTAAAAGAGCTGTTTAAACCCGACAGCTGATTATGTATCTATTTTATGCAGTTATCTAAAGGATATTTTGTGTCTTCGTTAGCAGTACTCTAGTAGAGCTCATGTATATAATTTATTAGTCTCCGACGTGCATTTTCCTACTCGATGTTTTCTTTCACCATGGAGACTGGTATTATCTGCCGTAACTGTGTTTGTTCCGTGACAGTTCTGCGTTTCTTCTATAGTTGTTATAGCTTTCGATGTTATATCATTTTTATAGAGTGAGGAGAAGTAATTTTGTATTCTTATATTTACGATAAGCTTTTTTAATGTACTGTTTAATATTATAATCGAATAATAAATTTGAGTAAAAAGTCACTTTCTCTTAAGTCACTTTTTTTAAATGAGTGCGCATTTGACCTCCGTCTCACGTAATGGAAGGAAAGTGACGATGAGGTCGACGAGGGAGCATTTATATGAACTATAATATAACAATTAACACTTAAACGCGCAATTTGTGTCACTTTATTTTCTTTTGTACTTTTTAATTAGAGAATATTCTTAATTAGATAACAGTAATATTTAAATAAAAATGAAAGTAATATTTTTAATTAGATAACAGTTCGTATTTTATGCACGTTAATTTGATTTTCAATGCTATTACTATGTTAATTAATATTACGGTACGAAATAAAAATATCGGGAATCAGCTAGAAATGACATACAGCGCCCTCGGTTGTCTTTTACAGTGATAAGTTTTTTTTTATTTTACCAAGTGACGGGACGAACAAGTCGTGCGCCTGTTGGTAAGCGACACGCCTGTCGATAGCAGTTGTAGTTGTACTCAGAGTTTTAAATCGCGAAGTTCTGAGTGGCACTGCCACTGCGCCCGTCACCCAGAGACATAAGTTGACAAGTCCCATATGCCTGTAATTTTACTTGTATTTCTTTTTCTTCAAAACTGGAACGCAATAATGCTCACATTACTGTTTGACGGCAGAAATAGGTATGGTGGCAGTTCTTCCCCGGAGGAACTCCTTCACAAGAAGCTTTACTGCTAGTTTAAAGATTAGTTCAAAAATACTCAAAAGTCAGAACTATGTTTATGAAATATAAAATTTTGTTTATAAAAAAAATTACCTTAGTCCATTGGGTATTTGAAAACACATGTTTTTTAGAAGGGCAAGCCATGCGGCGTAACGTATAAAGTTTCACCTGCCCGTTTTGAACATTGACATTCCGGCTGTTCGATTTTATTAACATTACTTAATTCTTGTGCGATTTTATTAACATTATGTAGTACTGAAATTACTTAATCGATCTCCGTCAGACATCCGTCCGAAGCAATTACTGCCAAATAACCAATACATGACCAAATGAAAAGACGCGTGATGCGAATGAACCTTCATACTTAATACTTGACTTTTAATTTTGTCGAATATTACTTATTTGACAGTAATTGTTTCGGACGGATGTCGGATGGACATCGAGAGTAAACCCCCTGAATCGTATACGTGTGTATAGTGTGTGTGTGTATATTTGTTTTTCTTTTTCAAAGAAACTTACGTTTCGGGCCCTTTACAGGTCCCATGGTCACGGCTGTCTGAGCGATAAAGTCATTAAACCTGTTATGTCTAATATTACGAACCATTGGTTTGTTTGAGAAAAAAAAAGAAACAAATATTAAGTTGAATTGCAAGGTCTTTCTTTTATTTAAGTTACTATGTCGTTTAGAAGAAAACAATCCTTATGATTAAGGCTTTCGATCAGTATAGTAAAAAAAGGTATATTTTTTTTCATATTTAGCGGGTTCGACTCTCTGTTCTGACAGGCGATTATTGAATGCAGTTCAAATTGTTTTTAAAATCAAAATGAAGCCTTCTATCAGTAAATTTTTATATCTGCGTTATTTAAAATTATAGCATAGAAAAAATATATAACAACGCCACAACACAAAGATACAAAAAAGAGATTAAGTATTAACTATGACAAAAAAAAAACAAAATAGACGAATTAGAAAACAAAATAAAAAAATACAAAAATAAAACAGACTAGAATCCACTCTTCTTTCGCTTCTCATCGCAATTACTTGCTTGTTTTTTTAAATGCTTACCCATGTTTTGGGCAAAGAGGTTGGAGAATGCCTCCCAATCTTTTCCCAAAATATTTAAACTGGTTTCATGAGCTTAAACAACTGCCGTGGCGCGAAATGACGTCTTTGACCAATTTCAAATGTGTTGAATGGATCGGTTTAACACCCTTGTTGACCTACGTTTTGTATGAACACTTCATTCAATACGATGAATCGGTAAGTTTTAATAGAAAATCAGCCCTTCGGTAGTACGACAAAATCGATAATCTCTTCTATTTCAGTGTTCCATTAAATGTTCTTGTCACGCCTACGTATTGACCGTTTATCAGAAGGTTTAAATTACAATATCCTCCTCCCACGTATCCAAAGTATAATGACCCGTCTGTCCCTATTTATTTATATGTGTCGATCCATCAGTAAAGGTGTTACATAAACCGTCACATTTAGGTGAGCAATAAACAAGTGCGAATATTAATAAGAAATGGACGTAAAATAGCATTGAATTAACATCTTGTAACATCGACTTAGTACAGCCCTTTTTTATGTCAAGAAATCCTCATGAATACCCTCGCGAGTGAGGTTTACGTTGGACTCGTACAGACTAAAACCTGACGCTGTTCCGCCTCGTCGTTTTCCGATGGGAACACGGGAATGCAATTGCACACTACCGCGAACCCACCGGCGAACAGCCGTCTCCGTAACCACCTTGGGTGGACATGGTTGGGTTGTGTTGCTACTTACTTGGTACTTGGTGTAACGGGCTAGTGTCCGCAACTCGACGTCAAGGCGCCTATTTTGCGTGTGGTGGGTGCAGGGTTCTACTCGTGCCACCCAAGCTCCTCCAGGAATCTTAGCAGCCTCCTCGGTTTGCTGAAGACTTCGGGGAGCGACCTTGGCACTCCAAGGTACTTTGCCCTGTAGTTGGCCACGCCGGAGCACTGTAGTAGGATGTGCGCAGCCGTTTCCTCCCCCTCCATGCACGCTCTGCATAGAGGGCTGTCTGTGATACCTAAATTGAAAAGGTGTTTATTGTATGGACCATGACCTGTTAGGGCGGCAGTTAGAGCTGTGTTGCTACTTAACGAGCCCCCCTCTACGCCATATTCTGATGACGTACCGAAACACAATGCACATCATCCAGGCTCGAAGACCTGTCTCCGTTAGAGCACCGAATGTCCCCGCATACTGTGCGCGGTGGCCCTCGTTGTGGACGCATGCAGCGGACGTGCGTCTGCTGCCTGCGCCCATTCCTCCCGCGACCGATCGGATGAGAGAACACGTCGTCTTCCCGTACTCGCTCCGCCGTCTTCTTCGCTCTTACCACCGCCTCGCAAAAGACGTTTGCGAGGCGGAGACTTGGTTTGCTTTTTTGTTTTTGTTTGTAATTTTCGTACAATAGTTTAAAAGAATATGCACGTATTAACGAACGTACTTATTGCAGGTGCGGTGCATGATCGAAGAGTACTTCGACAATGGACACAACAACCGGCGCGGCGTCAACGGCAGCGTCAACGGAGATGCCCGCAAAAATGGCATAACCCTCCCCGAGTTCGAGGACCTCTGTGCTAACCTTAAGGCGCAACAGGTAATGCTTATTACCAAGTATTATTGACATCTGCCTCCTAAGATACGGGTTCCCCTAGTTTAGAAGACAGGATAATCTTGGTATTGTATAACTTCGACTTATGACAAATATTTATAAATAAAACAATATTATTTACATATCGGAATAGCCAGAGTATATTTACATAAATTTAGACGACATAATACACATAGACTGGGTAATACCCCCCGGAATAATTCAAATTAAAGGCCAAAAATCTAAACCAAAATAGTAATTTTTTTACTTACGATTTACAAAACCTTTCTTTAAGTAATTTCTAGTTAATACATCAAAAATATAGAACAAAATACAATACAATAATTCCGGATTTTATTCATTCTACGTTATTTGGAGTATACATAAATATACTATGTCCATTTCGATCTCAGCTTTTCAATATCAAAAAGATTTTTTTTTTATGTTTATGCGCATAAAAAATAGTTTTGTTACTTTCATGTCTTTCTCCTATGGAAAAAATCATATAATATATTTAGATATCCGTGGATATATGGTCGCTATTGAATTATAATATGCACTTTTGGAGAATGTAATTGATACACATTTCGCACCGATGGTGTATAATATCTCATGTGCAAAATGACAATTTTTCAGGGAGGTTTAAAGATTCTAGGAACGAAATTAGTCGACAAGTTTTGCTTAAATAGGAGAGTCATATATTTTTTTTTATAAAAGAAAACCGACCTCAAAAGTTCGTGGAATTACATATATTTTGCCCATTTTTATTGAAAACGGAAACCGGAAAGTGCCCGTAGTTTGCTACCCTTAGAGGTGAAATATTTTCTTCAAAATTAAATGGCACCAACAAGGGGTACCTTATTCTTTATCTTTCCCACAAAAAAAAGAATCATCAAAATCCGTTCACCAATTAATTCAATTAAGTAATTGCGAAACATACACAAAAAAATGCCGTCTAATTTAGAACCTTCTCCTTTTTTAAATCGGTTAAGAATTTCACATATAGGTACATAATTTATTTTATATAGTTCGTATTATTTTTATGATTTTCGTTATAAATGCCCTTTTAACGTATGAACATCACATTGTGGGTTTACTATTCAAAGGATACGATTTATTTAGTGGAAAAAGTAATCTTGTATCGTTCAACTTTTGACGACATCTGCGTTCGAATGGCTTACCCACTGAGTTTCATGGTATCGTCATCTCTGAGGTCCCGGGTTCGATTCCCGGCCGGATATCGAAAAACTAAATTTTCTGTTTTGTCTCGGGTATGGCATCTCTGGCACTAGCCCGGAGAGCAAGTAGTGGTTGAGCTAGAACGGGAAGCTCCGCCACCAAAGAGATTTGAGTCAACGGCTTGGTGTAGAGCAATGCGCAACGTGCACCCGGGGCAGTTCACCCAAGGCACTAAGCGTTTTGAGAACCGTATGAAGTCTGCGCTAATGGGCTGATCTGGGGTCAGGACCTGACTGATAAGGTCCCGTGTGGGCTTGAGTGGGTAAGTGGAGGATTACTATAAACAAAACTTAAGTAAAAGAGATATGTGACTGTCTCGGGTCTGGGTGTTTGTGGGTACCGTGTCGTTGTTTTCGATTTCCATAACAACACAAGTGCTTTAGTTACTTACTTTGGAATCGGAGCAACGTATGTGATGTTGTCTAACATTTCAAACCCCCCCTGGAAGAATGGCATAAGTGGAGTTACGTCAAAATTGTTTATCGCTCCGTTAGATATAGAAGAATATAACCCACATCCTCTCCAATTCTTGTAACTCTATCTCAATATTAACCAATATACAAGAATTGGAGAGGATGTGGGTTATATTTTTCTGTATTTAATGGAGCAATAAACGTTTTTGACGTAACTCCACTTATGCCATTCTTCTGTGAGGGGTGCGATTTATTAATATTTATTTGTATTCGGAGAAGTGAGACGAAACGTTCAATACGCATCTGTGATAATATTATAATACTAAAGACAAATACAACGATTGTACAATGTAAACTAATTTGCCCTATTTCCCTTTTATTTATTGGCCTCTTAACTGACCTACTAACTGCCCTATAAATCATTCAAATCGAAGTCAACTGAGTTGAACCTAAATATCTATTAGTGGGAATTGCCGTCCTATTACTGTTTTAATACAAAATTAAACTTGTCAGTGTAAACAAAATTATTTATTGGAGTTCAAATAGAAATGCAGTGTACTTTAGTACTTTTTAAAATATCCTGATATTTTAAAAAGTACTCGTGTATATCCAGTGTTTAAGGGGAAGGGGGATGTGACCCATGTTGAAAGCCACAGACCGATAACCATAGTTCCGAATATATCAAAAATAATAGAATCTATTATATCAACAAGTATTATGGATCATTTCGAAATGAACGATTTGTTATCAGATAGACAATATGCTTATAGGAAAGGTAAATCCACCGTAGTTGCAGCACAAAATATAGTAGATTCTATTATTACCAGTATAGATGATAAGTATAAAACTGCAGGCATTTTTTGTGACCTAACAAAGGCGTTCGATGTAATTGAAAATGATTTATTAATTCAAAAGCTAGCTGTGTATGGCGTCAACGGAGTCGCCCATAACCTATTAAAGTCTTTTTTATCAAACAGACGGCAAACGGTTCAGGTCAGTACAAACGGTACAACAACTAGGTCAGCGGCTGGTGACGTCACCATTGGCATCCCACAGGGATCTGCCCTAGGTAATACACTATTCCTGGCATTCATCAATGATCTGCCATACTTTATATCAGGGGGTCTTGTGGTTCTATTTGCGGACGATACAACCGTTATAGTGTGTGCTAAAACCTACAACGAGTTGGAAGAAAAATTAGCCTGCACGTATGAGCAGCTGTGTGAGTGGTTCTCTGCGAATGGACTTATTCTTAACGAATCGAAGTCAAACCTTATGTTGTTCTCAGGAAGAAATTCTATAACAAAGCCAATTATCACCTCCATTGTTCCATTATGTAACACCTGTAAATTCTTGGGTTTAACGCTAGACTCAAATTTGAACTGGAAGTCACATATACAAACTCTATGTCAATAACTTGGAAGTGCTGCATACGCACTGAGGATACTGCGTCCTCTTGTCTCCAATGTGGTATTGAGGCAGACGTATTATGCGTATTTTCATTCGTTGATGTCTTATGGCATCACACTGTGGGGTAATTCAACTGAGTCGATTAGGGTATTTATTCTTCAAAAACGTGCTCTAAGAACAATAGTAGGCATAAAAAAGGGTCAGACCTGCAGAAACCTTTTTAAGAAATACAATATAATGACCATGTACTCACAATATATTTATGATATAATCTTAGAATAATAACGCATAGAAACCTAGCCCGCACACGCTAAGTGAGGCAAGTTAGAGGGTTCCAAACGCGTCCCAGGAGCGCGCGGGCTGTTAGTGCTCAAGGTCATATTGCACCGCGAACAGCTCCAAAATTTTTTGCTAAAAATGACGAAATGTGCGGTAAATGGGTGTAAAAATACAACAGACAAACAAAATAGACACTAACATCGCATTCCACAAGTAAGTAATGCGTTTCAACTCATATTTTTATGTAAATATTCACTAAAACAGAAAAATAATTTCGCGGCAACAAGATACGAAAGTGTTGCAAAGTAACGAATTTTTTTTCTCCCCATTTTGCTATTCTGTATCAAAATAATTATATTACGTAAATTTTAGTGGTGCCTGTAATTTCGATTTATTTGCGCATTTTGAACTAATATTTACTCGAATAAACATTAAATGTTTTCGTTAACTTGTGATGAAAGTGATTGGGACACTTAATTATTTTATAATACTTTTAACGGCTCTGCGTTCATGCTTTATTGAATAATTATTTATATTAATTTTATTTGAATTGGAGCACATATTGCAACAAATTTACAGTATATATTTGTTTCTACTATAGTGTTGGCACCACCAGTACAACTTTCATAGCTTATTATAGTCTTTCTTTTCGTAACTCAAGCGAAATATTTTATATTAAAATATTTTATTTTCTTAAAAGGGGAGCATTCTTAAGCGATTTTTTAATCTATTTTAACAGTTATTTTCTTTAATGTTTGCTTATGGCATTTTCGGTTTTGGGTTTCGAATATGGCACTTATTTCTAAATCCAAGATGGCAAGTTGGGTATCATTTTCGAGATGTTTGGGAATGTTCAATACAAATATGGGACTCATTTCTAAATCCAAGATGGCAAACACGACAGTTCAAACAAAAGCAATATTCGTAATGAGCACCCCCAAATACCTCGAAAACGATACCCAACTTGCCATTATTTGAAAAATCGTGCCCGCCATCTTGGATTTACAAATAGTGCCATATTCACATTGAGCATCCCCAAATACCTCGAAAATGATACCCACATAGCATTTTTTTGAAAAAATCGTGCCCGCCATCTTGGATTTACAAATGAGTGCCATATTCGTAATGAGCACCCCCAAGTACCTCGAAAATGATACCCATATTGCATTTTTTTGAAAAATCGTGCCCGCCATCTTGGATGTAGAAATGAGTGCCATATTCGTCATGAGCACCCCCAAGTACCTCGAAAATGATACCCATATTGCATTTATTTCAAAACTCGTGTCCGCCATCTTGGATTTAGAAATGAGTGCCATATTCGTAATGAGCATCCCCAAATACCTCGAAAAGGATACCCATATAGCATATTTTGAAAAATCGTGTCCGCCATCTTGGATTTACAAATAAGTGCTATATTCGTTTTTCATCGACAAAACCGAGCATATCTGTAGGCACCTGATCGACAATGTCGGGCAAATCTGTAGGCACCTTTAACTTAATGATGAGTTAAGCAAGATACAATTTCCCCACTTTTGAGGGAAATGTTATTCCATGGCATCATTATTTGTATATTTGTGTGCGTGCCGACGAGCGTAGTTACAAGTTGCTTACGCCTACATGAATTTGGTTTTTGCCTCACTTGTGACAGTTCGTTTGATATGAAACTATCATTCTATGCGTTATTATTCTAAGAGATATAATAGTTTATGCGCGTCAAAACTTGGCTACTTATGAGCGACGTACGGGCGGAGGCCGAGCGTTACGAAACGCGGGAACACTAAAATCCGTTGCCCACCGTACCGAACTTGCAACTAGAAATCCGCGGGTAATAGGTCCCCGATTCTACGAACATCTACCCACAGACCTGAAAAGTGTTAGAAACGATGCAACATTTTGTACCCGACTAAAAAACCTTTTATTGGATATTGAATTGTACAGTGTCGATGAGTTTCTTTTGAAACAATTTTAATTTTATTTTATTCGACAAGCAGTAGTTATACTACTTTATTTTATATTCATTATTATTATTATAATTTTATTACTGACGATCATAGTTATCCCTTGACATTGTATTTCCAATTGTAATATTGTGACATTGATAACATGAAATAAACGATTCTATTCTATTCTATTCTATTCTATTCAGTGACTCATACGTGACGAAATGTGTAATGTTTCTGTCATTAAAGTGTACGATGTTATTTTCTAAAGTCATTCGAGTTATACGGAAACAAGCGAATATTATTATAATGAATGACAACCTCTGCGGTCGAGTGGCTTGTATACACCGGTTTTCATGGTGTCGCTATCTCTGAGGTCCCGGGTTCGATCCCTGGTCGGGTCAATATTGAAACTAATTTTTCTACTTTGTCTCGGGTCTGGATGTTCGTGGTACCGTCGTAATTTCCGATTCGCATAGTACAAATGTGATGTTGTCTAATATTAATTCTATTCTTTATGTTGTATTGCATTTCAAATTAAGGAGCAATTATTTTAATGGTTGATTTTGCTATTCTCTAATTCAAAGCGTTTTTCTCTCTCAGTGTTCTTTGAGTAGTGAGAACCGATTTTTATTATCTCCGGTGTCAAGTTCCGTATAGTGGCGAACTAGGGGATGAATCCGGGTTTGCGCACTTTCCGGTAACCGATTTCAAAAAAACTTTTGAGGTCGGTTTTTTAGTACTCTGTACTGAGATTATTATTTTATATATTTAATTTATTGTTAAGAAACACGTTAATCATCTAAAAAGTATTTTGAATATTTCAAACGTTATGTTAACGTTATATCTAGTCGGTAAAGTTCAACTTTTTACTGTGATTTACTGATGTAATGTAATGTTATGATTAAGATTATTATTGATACAAAGCTGGAACGAACACAAAGAAACATTCCTTTGATCCATCTGGACTCGACCCAGCGACCTCGCCATAACGGGGCTATCGCTCTGCCAAGTCCGCAGATATTACGTATTTCTCCTAGTGCTTGTTGCAGATATTAGTGTTTGGCTTTAACAGTTTTTCTGCCATGGCGCCACCTGTGAGAAATCTATGAAAGTTTTTACTTCAATTATCGAGGTACCTTTACAGCTACTAGCGGCTGACAACAGATGATTGCAATATTTTATTGAATATCATGATGTTTTTTCTGGCATGATGTATACATACATTTTTTTAATGAATTCTTCCACTACTTTGTTGTTATTATTGATAAAAAAAATAGGACTAATACATAGAAATATTATTTCGATCTGGCTGGACTCGAATCAGCGTCCTCGCCATACCGGGGCTATCGCTCTCCTGACTAAGCTAATTTAATACGAGCCAGAAAAACGTCTTCCGGAGAATTCCTGTAGTTACCGTTTCGTATCTAGTTTGTATGGCATAAAGTTCATTATGCTATGTACAATTTCGTTGTACCAATTCGTTTCCATTCCGTGGCAATATAAATTGATCCATATGTTTTCCAGAAAAACATCTACTAATTCAAACATAAAAAGTGCAAACACAACCGACCATTTGCCGTATATCTAATCAGATAAACTTTTACTTACAGTTACGAAATGATGGGCAAGAAAATAGTAATGTTTAACATACAAAAGAATCAAATAAGTCAAAAATGCAATCGTCACTTTTCGTAAAACCAGAATAATTATCTCCGAAACTTGTGGAAACAGTACTGTTAACAACAATAATATGACTAAATAAATTCGATTTTTTTTCATAGCATTATAAAATTGGATAATAAAATCTGTTATTCACATTCTATATCCATTTCAATATAATTTTTCAGGTTTCCAGCACATTCAAACAGGCCGTCAGTAAAAAGGAAAACCTTGAGCATCTAGGCGGAATGAGCGAAGCTTCTAGTGATGGTAAGGAGTATATTATATTCACATAACATTATGTAATAGCCAACTGTAAGTTTTGATCTTCGAATTTTTTAATTTCGAAAAACTGATTTCTACCAACATAAAACAATACTGGTGCAATCACAGAAGCAAAAACAATGGAAGAACCTTAAGCCTCGATTACTATCAGAACCGCAGTCGGGAAAAATCACACTATCATAATGTTATACGCTATGAAATCTTGACAATGGTTGGTCGTAATTTCTAATATGTAACAAATTCTAGACTTTTAATATAATTTAAACTTTACCCTGTTAGCATACCATTGAAAGTTCAATGCTTACTATTCCAAGTTACGTTTTGATTTTTATTGAAATTTCATTCAATGCGCTACCATCTAGCGGTAATAATTAAAAGACGACGAACGATTAACGCCTATTAAAGTTCTCCAGAAAAAAATTACAGCGGCTTAAGATTTACTTTTGTTTCTTGTAACAAAAAATTCATTACGATGAACAGAAAATGGAAAATTTATTAAAATTAAATAAAACTTAACGATGATATGAAACACCACCATGAGTAAATATTATTGGTGCGACTATAATTTTTGCACTGCAAATTAGCAAAATAAGGGTATTGCTCCACAACATTTTAGGTTTTATACGAGATTGATTGACACGACCGTAACGTACAACCGACAATAGCGGACTGAGCTCAAGTTTACGGAACTCCGCGTACTGTTGGCACACAAAGCCCACTAAGCACTTCTATTGTATTAGTTCAGTGGTTGCAATGATTTCAAAACATATTTCCTTTTGACGATTAACCTAAAGACTTATTGTCTTACGTCTTTTTAAAATTCCAGGCACAACCCACTCCGTGAGGTTGGAAGAACAGATGGCGTTCTCCGGGTGGATCAACAGCAACCTCGAGCACGATCCGGACCTGAAGCACTTACTGCCCATCGACCCTGAGGGCAAGCAGCTGTACGAGAAATTGAAAGACGGATTGATTTTGTGGTACGTAAGAAGATTAGTTGTAGAACAGTTTCAGCGTAGTTGGGTGAACGTTTACCACCTATGGGGACGATCCTGGATTTGTTTTCCAACGGGCCTGCTTGCACCGTCTTCAAGCGAATTCTCAGCGATTCAGCCGCGGTTTCACTTAATTTAACGGTGAAGGCATATAACGCGATGAAATTTTGCAGACATGGCGATGATATTACACTTCAAAGATGATAAAGTCCCCAACCCAGATTAGGCCTGCGTTGTGTGGCCTAAAACTTTGGAAGAGAACCATGTCCAGCAGAAAAACGTATATGGGCTGATGTTGATAAAAATCAATGTAATCACTTATTATTAGTAATTCTCTGTGTCAGTCTTCATACTGCACATATTCTTTCCTTTATTTTAGCAAAAGTAGCAGGAAGTTCTGAGGAATTTTTAAGATGTAAGGGGTATTTGTTTATCTGCCACTGCCATTACGATAATTATAAATGAATAAAAATTACAATTAATAGAAAAAAAATAAATTATACAGTCTGAATCAACTTCAGCCTTTACTAATTGTCTTTGATCTTGACGAGATTTTTAAGTGGCGATGTTGGTGGCTCAACGGTTTGTTTTGTAGGCGCTGGAACAGGAGGTCCCGGGTTCGGTTCCCGGGAGAATCGATTTGGGCAATAGCCTTTTCTAAATTTGTTCAGGTTTAAATTTTATGGGTATTGCCCCGGAGTAAAATCCCTTGCTTTGGTACTCATGGGACAGGTCAGACACATTAAAAGGGCGCCTTCAAATGAGAGGCTTGTGAAAGTACTGCAGTGGCGCAACATCCGCGCGTCTGTAGCTTCAGTAATTTTTAGTTCAATAATTACAATTGTCACGCGCGCGTGTCACAACAGTGGCGCTACAACAGCGCTTCTATATCGTCGGTTAAAAGGTAAAACTCACTAATAGCCTAATTGGCCAAAGGGAGATAATTAAGATTTTGTATTTTTTCATTATGAAAAATCACTAAAGGACTGGTATGTATTAAAACATGAAGGACACCACAGACTTACTGAATTTTTCTTGTCATAGATGTTCTTCCCAATAAAGCAAAATTGAAAAAATCTAGTTTTTGAACAAAATGTCACTTAATGAGTTTTACCTTTTAACCGACGATATATAGTCTTGTCTTTTTTGAAGATGGAGTAAATGACATTTGCAGGGTTGCCAGTTTTTGTAAAATTTTAAATAGTCATGTATTTGTTGTCGACAATTTTTATCGATAGATTGTGAAATTAGGTAAAATTTAGCCAAAAATGTCTGAATTGTGAATATTACGACGTTCTAATGATTACTAATTGCGTTAATGCATTATTTAATCATATTTTGACTGTTAGTCTACTAGTATCGAAATTACACATTTTAATTACGACAGGCGAATTTGATTATGCGTATTAAATTAAAATGAAAAACTTTAAAAAATTTCTCCTATTTGTATTTTTTATACACATACTGCTAAATTTAATAGAAGTATGCATGAATTTTCAAAAATTAACAATTCAAATGAACCTGTGCCCAGCAATTGGACGAATAATTGGTCGATGATGATTCCAATAAAACAAGTTTGGCTATTTATTTCATAAGCATAACCAACATTCAGTCGATAGTCGATAAAATATTTATCGCCTGCAATCACTAGCTGCATGCAAGCGGGCAATACTTTTGCACAAAGAACTGTCATTTTACTCCATCTTCGAAAAAGAAAGACTATAAATATATGAAAACAAGTAGAGCCGTGGCTGCAGCGCCCTGCATCGCTTCTATAAGCGTCTACATTTATTATACCTATTTTGTTCTATAATAAGTATTGTTATTGCATTGAAAACTTATGATTGATACAATTCTCCTTTACAATTGCAGCAAAGTCATAAATCATTCTTGCCCAGACACGATAGACGAGCGGGCAATTAACAAGAAAAATCTAACATTGTACACAAAACACGAGAACCTAACTCTCGCGCTGGTGTCTTCTCAGGCTATTGGCTGCAATATTGTGAACATCGACGCGCACGACTTAGCTAAAGGTAATTATATCTTAATTAATGTACAGACATGAACAGTGTAGTAAAAGAGCGTTGTAGTATGAAGGATGACGTAGTGAGGGGGGTGCTTCGATGGTTTGGTCATGTAGAAAGAATGAATATTGATAGATTGATGTCACAAATTTATTAGGCATGGGCAGAGATAGACTCCGGCGTACATATCTCGATCAGATTGGGGATGTCCTTAAAAAAGGCCATGTTGTAAGGAACAAGAATAAACGAACATATATGAAGAGACTTATGGGAGTGGAGGAGGCCAAGGAGGTTTGTCAGAAGCGTAGCAGGTGGACGTCTATGGTGTCTGCCTACCGATGAGAGACAGGCGTGATGAATGATGATATATATAGGTACAAAAAAACAGTTATTGATAGACGTGACTTGCGCTCGTACCCTGTGGAACACCTAAAACCGGGTACTTATTACCGAGTTTTAACTCTGACGTGACAGGTACAACAGTAACGAGGTTCTAGCGCATAGTTTCCCAAAGTGGTCCATACAGTATGGGCGCTGAAGAGTCCTAAGGGGAGGTAGAGGTGTCGGAATAAATTCGGGGGCGTTGAAGCTGTCCAGGGTAGCGTTTGAAAAAAACCTGAATTATCTATATAAACTACACAACATAAATATATAAAAAATACGTGTTTTCAGCATTGACTTACAAATAAATGGACGACGGGTCTAATACAAAAACCACGAAAAAAATGTCCCAAGTCAACCTATTCGAAATTTAAATTGTAATGTCATCGCAGTATCGCGCTGTCAGTAGAACAAATGAAGACTAAAGCGGAGTGTCGCGCTCTGTATACGATTTTAGCGCCTTACAAGTGCGGACACTTTTTAGCGCGGACCCGACGTCCATATAATTGTAAGTCAATGGTTTTCAGTTATTTTTTGTGGTGGTGGACGTTGAAATTTTTTTATCTTACCCAAGTGTCGCACCGCCAAAAAGTTTAGGAACCTATGTTCCAGTGCGTCCGCGTGAAACAGTCTTCACTCGCTAGAACGAGTACCTGGTAGACTCTGTGCAAACTGCAAGTGTTTTGCTCGTGGCATGCTCGCAAACCACGTGCACACTATGATAATTGGTAACATAACATGCAACGGTTACAACTCGCTAGCGAGTACCCGGCTTAATGCAGCTTCATCATCAGAGCTATCGCAGACGAACAACATAATAGCGAACATTCCGTTACATTTCAATTTCGAAATGCCTAATTTTTACTGCTCTGTTGACTTCATGTCTCCTTCATATAATTTACAAGTGATCATTATGATTACTTATCTTACAAGATTAATTTGATTGATTTAATCATATCAATGTAATTAATTTTATTATCAAGCGATTTCATATCTCTGCGGTTGCTAATGAACGCTTCGTTTGCGTGTTTGCATGAGCATTCGATCACGACCCATTTCCTCTTTTGAACGCATACTGCTCGTTGCAACATCTACGCTTTATGAAGATAGTTCTCCCGTGAAAGCTTTACAACATTCGGCTCACCGTCCACACCATTCTAATAATAATAAAAGATAGCTGATTAATGAATAGGAATACCACCTTTAAAACTTCAAAATTTATCTTTTAGACCATGATGAAGTGACCAGATCATGGGAATCTGAAATAGATAACCAATAATAATAATAACTATACAGAGTTTTTTGTAAAATACTAACAACCTTGCAGTGCTGGACTATATTACTAACATCACAAACAAAATTTATTCATTTATTAAATCAGTGTGTGTCGCACATGAAACCAAAAAAGATTTGAAATTTTTAAAAATGCTGAATAAGTATTATTGGGAATAATGTGATTATTTTTCTTTATACATAATATTTAGTTATCCATTTATTTTATTTATTTTTACATTTTAGGAAAATTCACCGACAAATAATAAAAATATAGTGTACTTAAATATGACTGCCAATGCTATTCACGAATTTCCGCCAACATTAAACAATATATAGTGCTTAGCAAGTCGAAAAGAGATTTTAAGAGAAAACAAAGAACACAGTGACATAAAAAAAATAGATAATTTTACAAAAACCAGTGTAATCATCGCACATTATACTCGAGAATATACATAATCGCTCATTTGGTGCAACACTGACGTAATTGTAATTTTGGCAAAGTTGAATTAAGTATATTAACACATCTGTGACACATTAAGTGTTTATGTTTGAAGAAAAATCGGTAGTAATTTTAAATTTATATATGTAAAAATACACAGTTTTTTTACACATCAGTGTAGCATCAAATCACGAATGGTATACTGCCCTCCTAGTCATAAACAACGCATTTGAATTTGAGATATTTCGAGGTATTGCCGCCACCTAAAGTTTTTTTTTTTCTTTAAAAATGTCCATTACACTGATTTTGCTCAAGAATAAAACTGAAACTAAATAAGATACAAAAAAACCGCTTCCAAGAGGTCATAGATCCCGTTTCGGTGATTCCAGCTGATTCCACATGTTAATGTCCAATTTCTAAGATTCAGCAAATTGACCAGTCAAAATCTGACCTTCAACAAAACTTAATGTTGTTGTTCTACGATTGCAGGCAAACCTCACTTGGTGCTGGGTCTGCTATGGCAAATCATTCGCATCGGTCTTTTCAACCAGATCACGCTCGAACACTGCCCGGGTCTCACAGAGTTGTTGAACGACCAGGTAATTGTTGTAACCTTTCATACTACGCCATAAATTTAATTATTACGAATAAATGTATATTTTAAAAGTTCACATATCTAGGTGAAGAGTTGTAAACTTTATTATATTGTATGTAGTTAGTCTTCGAGATATATATTATATGGGGACGTATCAATGGGTTGATGGTGATCTTATAAAACATGATTTATTTCCAGGAGCGCATCGAAGACCTGCTACGGCTATCTCCAGAATCCATCCTGCTCCGTTGGGTCAACCACCAGCTGGAGAGGGCGGGTGTTACGCGACGTTGCACCAATTTCCAACAGGACGTGGCCGATTCCGAGATCTACTCGTACCTGCTGAAGCAGATCGCACCGCAGGAAGCCAATGTTACTCTAGATGCTCTCAGGGTCAGTTTCCAAATTTTGAAAATGTTCAGCCGTGTAATCATGTGTCACGGTACCATTTTACGATTCTATCATTATACGTCATTTTGTGTATGACTTGGGGGTTAAGAAAGTGTGCGCTGGATGAAAAGATCCCCTGTTCGTTTCCCGGTAGGTAGGTTGGGAAACAATCTAAAATTTATTTTATTTCATTGCGCTGGTACAGAAAGTTTACTAATTTGAAACCAATTGTTTAATAGTATATCCGTTTACAAATAAGTGAAGATTTGTAGACATAGAACATTTTTATTTGCTGTCACGCTTTGCTCTCGTACTCTGTGGAACATGGTGGAACATTATTTGATTTTAAATTCGGCACTAAATAGCATATAAAAACATATTTTGTTTACCTCGTCGTTTCGGACATATTGCAACGTTTGTGGTCTAAAATAGACTGAAGAGGCGGGCGTCAACATCTAACCGTGTGAGTTTCTCTAGCTACCCGCATTTGGTCTTAATTGTTTATTTGTGCACTAGGGTTGTCACTAGAACACCAAAGGGCCAGCGCAAACCGACAGATGGGAAAGTAAAAAAATTGATTAGATTTAACGATGTATATTTTGTTCTCTTTAAAAATGTTGATAAGGTCTAAATTGCAATTCTCTTGAGACCGACCTTGGAGCAACACGGCGTAATTCTTTCTGTGTTTCAGAGCATTGAAATTTATACCTTATTTCAATTGTTATGGCGGAATATATAGATATGAATAAATCGTCGATATTTTCTAGAAAGGACGAAAGTCCCATTTCCATAAATTTTTCAGGTGAGCTATTTTAGTTTTTCATTACTGTTTTAAAATATTTACGTCCTGTTTTAAATTAAATTTTAAAATTAAAACCAAATTGAATTTAGATTAAGACGTAAATATTTTTAAACAGTCCTTAAAACAAACATGCTCCCTTGAAAAATTTCTCGAAATTTCTACAAAACACCACGAAGTGTAAAGTTCTTTGCCTTGCTGTCGCCTATTTGCGCTGGCCCAAAAGGAGCTTCGTTACTGAGAGCACTCTTCCACATGCTTTCACAAATGAGCAAAAAGCTTGTCTTGTTTTATTCAGGAAACCGACCACCTGCGTCGTGCAGAAGTGATGCTGCAGCAGGCCGCGAAGCTGCGCTGTCGCGCGTTCGTGTCGCCAGCCGACGTGGTGGCCGGCGTGTACAAGCTCAATCTGGCCTTCGTTGCCAACCTCTTCAACCAGCATCCAGCCCTGCAACGGCAGGCTGACGCCGAGGAGTACCACCAGCTCGATGAGACTCGAGAGGAGAAAAGTCAGTATAAACCGACCCGTATAACTTTAGCTTCTGTTGATTGAAAGTCTCATCTTTTTTGTCAGTCAATGTACTCGAGTAGTCTGTGGATTAGATATACACAGCGTACATGCAATACACTAAGAGTACAGTGCAATTACGTCTTCAGGATGCGGCTGGCACTGCCACGGCACTTCAGTGCGTCTGAATTTGCCGAGTCGCGAATAGACTGTTATGTCTCTGCTAAAGCGAGTGCGTGACAGTGGCAATGGCATCCTGGAGATGTTTGTCCATCGTTTTCACTGTACAATTTTAAAGTTTTGGGTGAAGATCGCTTCTAGTCAAATTAAGTAGTGATTTACGCATTTTCCTAGTTTTCATATTTAAATTTTTGTAGCTTAACATTTTAATTATCTAATATTTTAGTTTATTTTTGTAACTAACACCATTATCGTATGGGCTATGATGATGAAATAAATTATTTTATTATTATTATTATTATTTTTAACACATATCGTTCCCTTCAGAACAAAGAAATTATACTTACGGCAAAAAATAATGTATAATGTGTAGTAATATCTCTTGCTTGCGGTAAAGTCATCGTGATGAAACTTGTTTGTCGAAGAAATTTCAGAATCCTTACAAAACGTGTGAATTGAGCTATCTAACAGCAGTAGAGCTCCTTGTGAAAGAATTCGTCCAGGGAATTACTGCCACCTTATCTGTCTATACCGCTAAATAGTAATGTGAGCATTACTGCGTTCCATTACTTTGCGTTGCGCGCGTTGCGTTACTGCGTTTCGAAGGGTAAGAGTGCTGGTGAAATTACAGGCACTTGGAACTTGTCCACTGAAATTTTAAGATGATAGACACAGTGGCAATGTCCCTCATACCTATATAATTTAAGCCCCGAGTGGCACTGCAATTGCTATGGACAGGCGTATCGCTTACCACTGGACGCAAAAAACCTGCTCCTTAGAGGAGCCCCGTGTCCAGCAGTTGGGTTGATGATGAAGACGATGAATTGATGAATATTTTTTTGAACTCATGGTACCACGATTTCGTTTAACAAAGGTAAACGATTCTTAATAAAAAGCATGTATTAAGATTACCATTTTCTAAGTTTAAAACTTACATTAAAAGTATTTTCATTGAAAAATCATATAAAAAAATTGTAGACTATGTATTAGATAAAGATGTATGGAAAGAGAACATGAGTTTAAACACCACACAAATATGATTCAAAGTGTATTCTATAGCATTTAAGTTTATTTGAAAAAAGCAATCTCTGGAGTTTCTTGCTCGTCATCTCATGGAAGTCGGCACAGTGAACGAGCATAAAAAATGATGTTTTCAAGTGTACAAATTTTACATATGAAATAAATGATTATTTGATTTTCATTTTGACTTTGTCGTGCAGCATACCGCAACTGGATGAACTCGATGGGCGTAGCTCCCCACGTGAACTGGCTGTACTCCGACCTGACCGACGGCCTGGTCATCTTCCAGCTCTACGACATTATCAAGCCTGGAATCGTCAATTGGAAGAAGGTATTCTTCCTTCCTACATTTCCGTATAAGCTTTGAACTTAATTGAAATTTTACTCAACCTGTATTTGATTGCGTATTTGTCAGGTGCACCGCCAATTTAGCAAACTGCGCAAGTTCATGGAGCGACTGGAGAACTGCAACTACGCCGTTGAACTCGGCAGGCAGCTGGGCTTCTCATTGGTCGGCATCGCCGGGGCGGACATCAACGAAGGCAACGCCACTCTGACGCTAGGTATATTTCTTGTTTGTGATGTGAATCTTGCAGACAGTCACGGTTCCGATGATACTGTGACATTTGAAATGTTTACGTTACACGCATACTATTTTTGACTAATTTCTCAGCCAGATTACAAATAGAAATAGTAAATTTGTTATAATATAACAAGAACGAACAATATTTGTTGGAGTTGTAACTTTTAAGTAAAAGTTACAGGATATTAAATAGATAGAATCAGAAAGGATAAAAATGAAAATAAATTACCTCAACTACTTGATGCGTAAAACGGAATATTTTTCAAAGAGATTGACACTATAGAATCGATAAATTGAATCGGTTATGGTGTATCTCGCTTCAATGCGAGTGCATACTTGTTTCGGACGGATATTGAACGGAGAACGAGAGAAGGCCCCCTGTGCCGCCAGTCCTCTACACCCCCACACTACGCCACTGGGCAATGTGGCTTAGACGCCTGTTCCGAAGGACAAATAATTTTACAACTACTAAAAAAAATTACATCCCTAACTACGGTTCTATAAATAAACTCCCACTACCCACTACAGCGCTGATCTGGCAACTGATGCGCGCGTACACACTGTCGGTATTGACGCGGTTGGCTAACACCGGCAACCCCATCATCGAGAAGGAGATCGTACAGTGGGTTAACAACAAGCTGCAGACCGCAGGGAAGTCCTCGGCGATTAGGAGCTTCCAGGTACTGTAACCACACCTAAACACATCGATGTTAATGTCTTTATTCACAATATAACTTAGCACTTTCTGAATACAGCTATGTAATACATTGCAAACTTAACTATTTTGGCTTGCGTCACTATTCTTGAAAAGCTGCGATATGCAATCTATCAAAAATATATTTGTTGGAAATTTTACTTTATGTTGTTTACATGGAGCTCATACTTGCATGGTTAACCGTAATTAAACGTATTGCGTAACCAACGGCTATGTTGTGACGACCAATATTCGTAAACACCTAGACTATTGATTTTATACTAACCTTATTTTAATTTAAAATGAGGGAATTTTGAAATTTTACTGTGGAAAAATTCTAGTTTCTTTTTTGAAGACGGAGTAAAATAACATTTGTAGGGTTGCCAGTTTTCATAAAATTGTCGACAGTTTTATCGGTAGAATCTGAAAGAAGGTAAGATTTTGCCAAAAATATATGGTTTGCGACGAATGTTACGACGTTCTAATGATTACTAATTGAGTTATTGCCATCTTTAATCTTATTTTGACGGTTGGCCTACTGATATCGGAATCAGCTTTTATTCATATGCATTTTAATAAAAACGATTTGATTATCTATATTTTGTATTTATAATAGACATAGTTCTAAATGCATGTATGTATGTATGAACTTACGAAAATTGATAATTCAAATAAACCAAATACGACTATTTATTGCAAAGCGTAACAATATTCAGTCGATAGTCGATAGAATATATTTTATCGACTGTAATCACTAGCTGCTTTCAAGCTGACAACACCTTTGCACAATGAGCTGTCATTTTATTACTCCAACTTCAAAAAAGACAGACTATACATTTAAAAGTTATATTAAATGAAAAAGGCGTCTTTTACTGTATAATTATGTAACGATAAGTCGCTTTAAACTACTTTCACTAGGCGAAGGTTTCACGCATCTAAAGTTCTCCTACAGAAGTTGCAATAATTTTCAGAATATTTTAAGTGCAATTATATTACTTAGGACGAAGTGCTAGCGGACGGGAAGGTGGTGATCGACCTGATCGACGCCATCAAACCTGGCTCCATCAACTACGACCTCGTGCTGCCTGGAGGCAACGAGCAGGTACGTGAAAGCTAACGGCTAAATAATGTTTATATATAATATACATACATAGAATATATATATTGAACGATTAATGAACCAAATCATATTATACAGGTGACAGGTTAAACGAGATAATTATTGAAAGAGGCAAACGAGTAGCTGATATCTAATCCGAATATGTCAAAAGAATCGCCCCTAAACATAAGAAAAAATAAATCGTGTCATTTTACAAATACTAACACACTCTTTATTTGGGCTAGTCTATGAAACAGATCAGGTGAGCGATAGGAAATTTAACACCCGCGTGTCGAGCCTTCCTAGTTAACTATTAAAAATAATTCAATTTTCCCTTCAATTCAAAGCGTGCGCACAGGCTGGTAAAGGTAGCGGGCACTCGCTGCATGTTTGGTCCGTGGATGAACGTAGTAAAAAATGATAATTTTGCAGAAATTTCTGATTTTTTTTTATGGAGTGAAGTTTGGTCAATCGTATGTCGGGCCCCATAGTACCTGTATTTTCTGATTTTAGTACAGAGTACTAAAAACCGACCGCAAAGTTCGTGGAATTACATCCATTTGATCCATTGAACTGCTTCTGTGGCCGAACGGTTACCAAGCCGGACTGCCACGCAGAGGTCCCAGGTTCGATTCCCGGGCCCGGAAGAAATATTTGTATGGCCTACATTTATTTCTCTCGTGAGTTTGGGTGTAATTTGTGGTTGTCTATGCGTGTGTATATTAAAATCGATTACCGGAACCCTGAACCCTAGTTTGCCACTCCTAGAGGTGGTATATTTTCTTAATATTTTTTTATTTATATGGAACCACCGCTGAGGTGCTCTCTTTCCAACAAAAAAAGAATCATCAAAATCGGTTCACAAATTCGAAGAGTTATCACTTAACATACATACAAAAAAATTAAAAAAGAAGCAGTCGAATTGAAAACCTCCTTTTTTGAAGTCGTTAAAAATAATTTTCCGTGTTGCCGAAATACGTCAAAACGTCTTTATTTCGGGTCTCACTGCACCATAATTATTTGTTACAGGATAATCTAGCGAACGCTAAATACGCGATATCGATGGCGAGGCGCTGCGGCGCACGCGTCTACGCGTTGCCCGAGGACATTACGGAGCGCAAGCCAAAGATGATCATGACGGTCTTTGCTTGCCTCATGGCGCTCGATTACATTCCCGCTATGGATGCGCCCGTGAATAAGTAAGTCTCCATTTGTAAAGATTGTAGGGCATAGAGAATTCTGAATAGTTTATATAAAACTGCTGCAACATTTTTATAGAGCTTTTGTAGACTCAGACAACTCTAACAGCGTCACAGCTTTACATTTGTACAATAAATTGTCTGCATAAGTAAGAAAGCACTAATTCGTATGATAATTTTTAAAGAAACTATTCAGAGTTCATTATTGGAGTAATATATATGATTTATATGTGTTTTGTATATGTCGGGTGGTAAATAATAAACAGCGAGAGTAGACCTAGACTTTTTAAAACTATAGTCAATTTAAGGAGCATGATGTTATGATAATTGTAGTGGTTATATATACAAGTCATCTATTGACTTGATAATTGCAGTGCTTCTATAAAAAGTCGTCAATGAATATACATACACACCATGACACCTGTCTGCCGCTGGGGTAGGCAGGTGCTATCGACTATCCGATGAATATGCACTAAACTTATGAACAGCGATGAATCTACGATTCTTGAGAAATGAGGGGATTTTTTTTAACAATTTGCCATATTGAATCGACCACTTATTACTTTTACAATTTGATTCAAAAATATTATTCAAATTGTTTATTTAAAAGTTACTAAATTTTTTTAACGCTGAATAACATATTTAAAAAAAAAGTTTTATGTGAGTGGAGAATAATTTTGATTAAAAAGTTCTCATATTCGTGTAAAAACAATTTGAAGTTAGTAAAGTCAAAACTTGTATGTAACAGTAACTAATAGTTAAGTCTAAATAATGCTTTTCAATCATTAAAATTTAACCAAAATACCAATGAAACTAATTTATTCATTGTTCTTTATTTTTTGGACCAAAATTGACTGAAAATGTTACACGGACATTCCTAAAGTAAACTTTTATTATTAACAATTAAACATTTTTGTAAGAAAATTGAATTTAACATCTAAAATAGACTTTTTTGGAAAACCAATACTTACCTAATGCAGCGGTATTTTAGTTTTTACAAACAATAGTTCTTGTAAACTCTGTTCTGTATAATCAGTAATGTCTCTATAGTCACCACTTTAGACAACGATCCAAACTACTTCTAAAAAATCAATTGAGTGGATTGCAATTAAACCGAAGCTTGGTTGGTGGTAATCAAGTACTTTTGTTGTTTAACTTCTCATTCAACTACAATTTGCATAATAGAAGAAGCCAGAAGTGGTAGATGCTATTATATTATTTCTTAATTGAGACTAGCAATGCAACGGCATGCAGAAGCCAATTTATGACTTTTTAAAATTTGAAGTTCCACATTATTTCCAACTAATAATTGGGACTCATTGACGTCAATGTTGGGACTAGTAATTCAACGACATGCAGAAGTCAAACAGTAAGTTTTTAAAATTAGGAATTCTATGTTGATGAATACTAAAGTTGAAACTAGTAATTTAACAGTATGCTTCTGCATACTGCCTTTTTTGAATAAGGAATTCCATGTTGATGAATACGAAAGTTGAAACTAGTAATTCAACGGCACGCAGAAACCAAATGATAGCTTTTTTGAATTAGGAGTTCCATATTGTTGTCAACTCATCATTGGGACTTGTAATTCAACTGCTTGTAGTTGCCAAATAAGTTTTGTTGAATCATTGGTACCAACAACTATTTGTTCTCGTAAAACCAGAATGCCGCATTGGTGAGGGTTAATATGTATGTGTCGTCTTGTCCTTTTGCACCGTATGGTGATGTAAAAAAATATTTTACATATATTTGTAATAACTTATTATACAAACGTGTATTCTACGCTAAGATAATTTAAGGCCTTGAACTTGACAAATGTAAATTATTCTCAGTTTTTACCATTTATGTACTAATAACTTTTGGCCATAGGTCTCCTATGGTCACCACGATATGGACCTCAGATCACGACATACCTCGTGCCTTAATAATAGTACACTCATCATCAAAATGTTCTGAACGATCAAACTGGCTAAATTTGTCTGAACATACAAAAAGTATAAAAATCGACTTTGAATGTATATACGGAGCATCAAACAAAAGTCAATCGTAAATTAATAGCAATAACGTTGATTATCTTTGGAAATATTTTTGGTTGGTTTGAATTTCGATAAATATACATTTTTTAAAGTATTTCTAAGACTGCATTTGCCTTGAAAATAGTAACATTTATTGCGCATTAGATCTCGTATAAACGTAATCGAAAACGTAATATATAGATAGATAAAGTCGTTGTAAAAAGTACATAACAATTTGAGAATTTACATCTGTCAAGCTAAAATGTATCTTGTTCGATATACACATACCTTATAGTTTAGATTAATATGAAACGAACGAAATACATACCTTATATAATATGCTGTAATCTATCTTTTGAGGGAAACACAGATGGTTAAGCTCTATACTAGTTAACGCTATATGGAAAACTCATATTTACGCGTCATATTACGGACGCTAGACAAAAGGTCATTTTACAATGGTAATTTGGTTTGGTATAAAAATACTCGCATAAACTAGCACAGAGCTTTTGGTTTTCGCACGCATGAATTTTCCTACTATGGTCACTCTTATATACATTTCTCTGGCCTATATTATATAAGCAATGTATAAAAAGCAACTGTAATTACGTAATGACAGTGTATGTAGCATGCGGAAAGCTAAATTCACTTCAGTTGAATATGTGTAGCAATTTTGTATTTGCAGTTCGTAAAATAACTTTTCCGGTAAAGTTTGAGAGGTTAACATCTTTTGAACGGGTGTAAACAGTATCTTTGTGATGTAATTTTTTATTAAGCATTATTATGGTTCGCGCAACTAGGTGACTATATGATATTGAAACGGTAGGCAGAAACGGTTGACATGACAAAAACAGACACCGTAGTCACTTAGCTACCAATCAGCCATCTAGTCGCCCAAGGAGAATGACAGCTTTGACATGTAATAATGAAAACCAGCTCAACTCAGTGAAATCTACTGTTGGATAATTTTCCGAAAATCTTCAAATAGTAAGAATTTTTCCGGTAAAAAATTCGAAAGATTGGAAAAGTATAATTCCGAGGCTCATATTATGTTCTTCGTTTAGAAATATCTTTTGAAGTTTTATTTAGCGGGAATTATAATATAAAATAAAATTGTATAGCTTAAAAAAAGTTAGAGATAAACGAGATTTAAAATGATTAGACGATAGCTAAAAAAGGGAATCATAGGTAAAAAAATCGTTTTTGTTCAGTATCTTCAACTTTTGTCAAATGTGGAAAAATACAAGAAAAATATTCGGAAAAATATTTATTTTTCTGAAAAATGTTCCATGACCCAACACAAGAGAAGTCCGCCATCGAAAATCACTGGTCAAATTTTGAGTAATAGACGCGTGTCTTTTGCATGCAGCAGGCGCGCACACATACAAACCGCGCTGCTACGTTTATATGAAGTAACAATTGTTTGATTATACTATAAAAAAGAAGCTAACACTTTTGAAGCTAACACTTTAAAAAAGAAGAAGAACCAAAAAACTGAACAATAAGCCACTTGGCTGCCTTTCGCAGTACGTCGTTATGTGAAGTTTTAAGTATATAATATAAATATACACTATATTTGGAGTGCCGCAAGGCGTAAAAATCAAAGTACACCAGAACACATATTCAACTGAAATGGAATAATTCGTACTTATCGATATAGTATTATGATGTGTCAATGTTTTTATAAATTTTTACAACGAATAAAACGGGATTCGTAATTACATATTTAGGATAAGTGAGCAAGTGTCGTTAGATTTAAATAAGGAAATAGAACCAAGTTTTTTAAATAATTATTTGACAAGCTTGAAACTGTCTTGACAGCCAGACGAATTGCGTCTTGAGATTCTTTAATATAATTTTAGTGTTTAAAAAAGGAAAATACGGCTTCCAAGAAAAATTATGTTTACATTCTTATGAAGAGTGCATTTTTATTGTTTGTGAGATTGTGTGGGGATGCGCAGTTGTCTTCGTGAATATGCAATAACTAATACTTGCCGCTTGGTGTCGATTCTGTGACTTACAATTCTTAAACCAGTGTTCGAAATTATGAAGATATTTTATTTTCTATGATAATTTGTCATTGATAATTATTCGGTACATGTCCAATAATTATCCCTACCGGTTCTTAGTTTAGTCGATTTAATTTTTTATTAAAAATTACAAACAGTGAGAAATCTAAATAAACAAGAAAAAAGTTAGGGATTTGGTTTGGGACTTTTTTAAAGATTGGCATTTTGATATCTTTCTGATACAAACGCATGACACGAGGTTAGCGAGCCGCGAAAGCGATTCCAATTATTTTAATTTTATAAATATCAAGATAATTTAAGGGATTAATTATCACTAAATTAAATTATTACAAATCTAACATAGACAAAAATATATTGTCGGCACTTTTAAACTATTGGAGTGTTGAATTGATAACAATATTTTCCATCTGTGAAATTAGACGTTAAGAATTGGGAATCACAGAGCAGTCACTATAGAATAGTATATACACTGTTTTCCTGAAAACTTTAACAACGTATACTACTCGTAATTGTAAAGAACTTTTTTTTTTATTACGATTGAAAGTTTAATTACATTTGTACGGGGTGTTGAAATGTTTAACTATTCGCTAAGGTTGCCATATAAAAAGCTTTTCGGAGACACGTTGTAGTTTTCAGGATTGCTCTGTAGAGCTAAAGTATAATAAGTATGGTAAATTAATGCAAAAGTAGCAGCACAGTTTATGTCTATGCACACCCGCCGCATTAGTCTCACGGACCTTTCATTATTATGCATAGGGCGTGCAAACAATAAGCCGCGCTACTGCGTATGAATTCAGTTACCGTACTTGTGTTATTATACTATGGTAAAGCCATTCATTACATTCCTTTTTATTTGTTTGAAATTCCCTATCGGCATTTTTAAATTTCTACCATCATAACCTCTATAATCTAGACATAACGAAATGTATAAAACGTTATTTTTTAAGTTAATGTGAAATATTTTTGTAAAGCATTTATTAATATGACATTCCCTTGGGAACCATCGATTATGTTTTACATACCATAATTTTTAATTGTAAATTTTTATTTTGTTAGTGTTTTTAATATTTTTTATCGCGTTTAAGAGTATTTTTTTTTAAGAATCAATCGATTACTAATCATGTTTTAAGAGATGAATAATTAATCGTACCTTTATAATATAATTATGCTATACAATAATTATATTCAATGATACCACGCTAGACGTCAGTAATTTTAAAATATGTAAGCGTATATAATTAAACGGAATTGGTAAAATATATATGTATTTTTATTTGTGTCGTTCGTATTATAATGTTTAACACTTACTGCTTGGGTTTGTGGTATAGATTTTGGAGCACCTGGGTTACGTCGTGTACAGCCAACGTGTTAAAGTAATGCTTACAGCAATTACATGGGATGTATATTGTTGATGCAAAAGCTACATGGGTGTAAGTAGTCTAGTCACACTTTTTTGTTTTCTGTTTTTGGCAAATCGTATTGGCTATCTATTCCCTACCATCAAACTACAGATCCTTTGTGTATCCACGGTTGAAATAAAGAAGCGACTCAGTGATGCTTTTTTAAATTGCTCAGGGGAGCGTTTTAAAGTTTACGAATTCGGAAATGTTAAATTTGTTTAGTTTGACAAATAAATGGTCGGTTATTCGTGTGATTTTATACTTAAAGTTTATTTTGCCCGGGAAGTGCAGTCGAAAAATGGAAGCGACTTACAAAAATATATTTTTTCTTTTAAATTCCGGGAATAGCTCGACATATTGTAATTTTATATTTTAATTACATAAGACTTTGGCTCACTGGAAGTTTTATGAGTATTAGAACTGGATCGCAGTATAGTGAACCGTTAAGTGTCAAATGAAAAAAAAACTTTCTAAATATGACAAAATTTTAATGTTACATAAAATTACAAATAACATTTAAAATTGTTTGTTTATCCTTCAGTATTATACTTAATTTCATCAATCTTTGTGTTACGAGATTTTTTCGTTATAAAAAAGCGCATTCCATTATAGAGGACACCGAATTCTACATAAATAATTATCGGTTTTCAAACCACTAAACTTATACTAGTTTACGCAGAAAAATCTGCTGAGTCCGTATTTACTTTTCAACCTTTACAAACGTTAATATGTTTATTCATCGCAAATTTGTTTAATGGTAGTAATAATACCAGAACTTGTACTTCCATCTTATAATACCACTAAGAATTGAAAGGAAAAGTGCGGCTAGACGTGGGTTAGTTAGTGTATATAATACGGGGTACATGTTTGTGATGTTTTGTGTCGTCCAGCACTGGAAATGCACGGGATAAGTATAAATATGTATTATACATATATACAAGAAACATGTCCAAGGAAATAAAAAAAAATGTTTTGTATAGCCTTGCCGTTTCGATACTCAGTCTAAAATTCAAAGAGATTTCACATTTATATAAGTCGTCCCTCTACATGTCAATTTGGAACTGCAAAACGCTTACTCTGTCTTATACAATTATATAGCAACAAGCATTTTATGAAATATGAAAAAAACTATATAAGAACAGGCGCTTGTCGCCTTTTCCGTCTAAATATGGAAAGATATAAGAGCCTGTATGGTGGAACCTTTGCTTACCCAAATATTAAGGACGAAAATTGAAAAAAAAAAAAAGTATTTCTATAACTGATTACAGTAATGGGATTTTCGCGTACTTTGAATTTCAGACTGTCTTTCAAGACGAAGTCGGGTTATCGAATATCCAATAAATCAGTACAGATTACTAAAAAAACCGACCTTAAAAGTCATTGATCCCCTAGGTTGCCACCCTTAGAGGTGGAATATTTTCTCCAAATTTGACCACTTCTGAGGTACCCCCTTCCATCTAAAAAAGAACCATTTGAAGCGGTTCACAAATACTGGAGTTATTGCGTAACATACATACAAAAAAACATGCAGTCGAATTGAGAAACCCCTTTTTTGAGTCGGTTAAAAATAAAATCTATTTTGCACTTTACTTTCGCGTAATACACTCTGTTGCCCATAATTATTCCTAAAGCTATAAACATTCACAGGATCTCGTTTCATTTTTTTTTAACCTTATTGATATTTGTGTAATAGATGTAATTCTTGTATTGTAATCATAGGTTTGAGGAGACCCCAGAAATTGTCATGGACTCCGCATACTATATGGATATGGTCGACCAACCAGAAGATTCCTTCCAAGACCCAAACGATTCTGGGCTGGGCTTCCCAGAAAAGCCAGCATTGCCACCGAAACCAGGAAATCTTAACAGGTCCATTCCAATTGAAGCAAATGAATGATTAATGTTATTTTAAATAGATACTTAATTATTTTTTTATTTTATTTTTTATATTCATGCCATTTTTTTTTTTGTTTAAAATATAATATGATAATAATATTATTATGATGTTGTGGAATAATTAATTATATTTTTTTATGTTTTAATTTTTTTGTTTTGCTCTATAGAAGGGTAAAATATGACCCAGTACCAGCGCAAAACCTATCTCAGAATTTTGCTTATATTAGGTAAGTAAATTCTGTATAGTTTTTGTTGTCGATATCAGTGGCGTTTGCCACTGTCAATATTGCCTTTTATTTTTACTCAGGCGCACAGAGTTAGGTAATGTATGTTCATGTATAAACAAAAGCCTTCAACAGTTTTTGTTCTCTATTCTTCAAAAGCTTTTATGGACGTATAATTTGACCAATAAAGATAGGAATAATATAGTAAAATGAAGAAAACAGAAATAAAAAAACAATGGTTAGATATGACTTTTAACTGCCTTCGTGGCCGAACGTTTAACGTTTAACTGCCTTCGTGGCCGAACGGTTACCATGCCGGACTGCCACGCAGAGGTCCTGGGTTCGATTCCCAGACCGGGAGAAATATGTGTATGGCCTACACTTATTTCTCTCGTGAGTTTGGGTGTAATTTGTGGTTGTCTATGTGTGTGTCCATGGCACCCGCGACACAGGGTTTCCCTAGTGCAGGGCTATGAGTGTGTTGCGTTATTATGACTTTATTGTTGTACAATTATCTTAAAATTAATTAGCTGCATCTAATAACACACCCTGTGCAGGGTGGTTGAATACATATATAGTATCTAGTCCACCCAGGACTATCAGGCGTGACATATTGCTCTCGTGTTTCCTTTTTATAAAAAACAAGAGCAGAACAAAAGATTAAAAGTATGTATAAACAAATCGTAAGTAGATAATTTTGCCTCGAATGGCAGTTCGATACAGATCTATCCTGCTGGGTTTGAGATACACTGAGATACGTTCAATGGAACGAACAGAATTTGGTTGATTGGATAAAATCTGTAGTCAAAATCGACACGGACTTTCTTCTTCATGTGTATCACAAATCTGATTCTAGTAGATCGATTTGATGATTTCTTAGCAGATTCCTTTGTCTGCAACGTTCCAGTTGTTCGATAACCAGATTGCCGTAGTACTCGATACACAAGTACAGTACGTCTTCATCAACGAACACACTTGGTTCTAGGGGAAATATCCCTAAATCTATCTCCAGAACATGGTCTTTTTAATCCGTTATAGCTACAATGGCTTTCCGAAGCCCATAGTAATAATTGTGGCTACCGTTCTTATTATGGGATGTCTGTTGTGCCATTGTTTACTTGAAAATTTAGGTGAAAAATTAATCATTCAAACTTAAATAAAAATACATCCTATGCGCCCAATGACACCGTTATGTACCACCGTCTGAAGTTGTATATAGCACTACTTTTCTCGGTTACATATTTTTATAGTATACAAATACATTTTGTGTATATTCAAAAGGAAACAGTAGAACCACTTTTAGATAATTCTTAACAATTTTTTTAAGTAATAACATCAAGATTCACTGTTTTACTTCACTTATACACTTTTGTAAGGAGTATTAATAGTAATATAAAAAAAAATGACGGATACTTAGTGACCTCGATTGGGCACGGCGCCCGCGCCGCGGCGGGGATTAATGGGTTAAGCATTCAGTATGTATTATTTTCCCAGCCAAAAGAATTTGAAATTGTATTGCGGTTTTTTTATTTGCAATTTTAACTTCCATGGTAGAATTTGCCTAGGGTGTATCTCATAAAACGAGATTCTTTGAGCCTTTCTAAATGCTACACTTCTTGCTAGCCGTTGAATCTGGATATGAAATTATTTTAGGACCCATGGGTGACCGTCAGGATGGCTGGTCGACTGTGGCGTTCAGCAATTCTTGAATATACATACACTCAGTGCCGATGCCACAGGCCACCAGCCATCCTGACGGTCACGTCTCATGGTTATAAACTTTTTCAGATAAGGTCATCTGGTATTATTTTACTGTACTTTATTGATTACTTACTGGATCTTTAATGTAACGTGTTGGTGTCCGCAACTACTTCCACGCGCCTGTTTTCCGTGTAATATTGGATCTTTTAACCACCAAATAGGGGAAGTATGTTCTACATTTTTATCAGTTTGTAACTTTATATGATATCGAACACTTTTTGTACAAAAACAACGATTCGTCAAATAACGAAACGAAACTGGTCATTGCTTCGTATTCTCGCTTTCTGATTATTTTAGTGACATATTCATGTTACTGGTTTCCTCTTGGCTTTGGCTTGTACGATTTCAAAGAATTATTTTTTGTAAGTTGTAAAAAAGTCTGAAGCGAAGGAAATTTTGGTTAGGTACCTACTGGAAAGAAAAGACAAAAATTGAATAAAAATGTGATGATTTATTTTATTCCTTAGCTGGCAACCGAATTGAAATAGATAATACATAAATTGAAACATTTTACAAATACTTCTGTCATTGGTAAATTATGAGACAAAATTAAAACAAATTAAAATCAAAATTAAAGGAAGCCATCTTCAATATGTCTTAGGCAAGTGAATAAAATTTTTCGCATTTTGGTACAATGAGCTTTTAGAATATGAGAACAATTTTATACTAGCACAATGTATACATATTTACAATTTTGTTTACATAATGCACATTTGTCGTTATAGTATTCTCTTGCGTCACTAGCGGCCAAGCTTCAGAGCTGTTTGAGTGTTATATTATTAACCTGTTTAATTGTAATACATTATTTGACGTCACAATTTTCGGTTAAGGTTACGCTGTGGCATTCTGTATTTAAATTATAGAATGTTTTTGAAAACATATATGTCCGTTTGTTTAAAATTCGCGTATCCTTATTCCACGGTGACCATGATGGAATTTTTGCGATTTTGCTACTTATGTAACTAGGCGTCATGCAGTCGATTCTAGTGGCATAAAACTAGATTTAGTTGAAGGTGTTTAACTGTCCTAGTTCGAATAAGCTTATCCCAGCATCACATGACTCAATCTCGAAAATCACAGCGCTTGCTTAGATCTGATTTCACTAAGAAAATTGCTTCAAATCAGTTGAGTATAAGATTAATGTTTTGATTAATATTATATTATTACAATTTATTGGCCGATTTTATAAAAATTAAAATAACTCCGAAGTTTATACTTTAGAAAATAATACTATACTATTATATTTTGATTCACGGTCCCTACAGTCGATTGAGCCTGTACTGTAAGGGTTGCCTTCAAGATGGCAAACGTTAGTGACAACATAAATTTATTTCTTAGTATTGCAATCAGTCTCTACACAACATTAATTAAATTTTTTGTGTAATTAAAATCACGGTCATAAATACAACAGGCGATCGTCAATAAACAAAAATTCACTGTACCAAAATAAGACAAAACGTCTATTTTAAATTATATGATGTAGAAATAAAATTTCATGTAAATTGCTATGTAAAAAAATTATTTACACAAATGTACACGATAACACGGACTAATTGAGAAAAAGCGAACGTTTTGTACATTTGAACAGTATGGATGGTTCTCTAATATACTAGTTTTTTTAATATTTGTACTTGACAAGTAATCATTGAACTGCAGTGGTCTATGTCAACTTGCCAAATAATTTCTACATTCAGTAAGAAATTTTGGAATGTATTTTAGCTTTATAAATAGTTAATATGATTTAATTTAATAATTTAGAAAAAATTTCTAGACCACCAATATTACGAATTTGATTTTGACCACATTGCTAATTGCATAATTATATTCCAATTTTAATTGAATACAGAAAAATAAGACGTTAACTAAAAAACCAAGAGCTTTTATTAACGCAAAACCTGTCTACATTATCTAAGTTCCACATTATAAGTTTATAACCATATAGAGTTAGGTTACTATAGGTAGAGGTTTAATAGCTGACTTTCAAAATATTCATCAAGCAAGCATAGAGGCAAGCCAAACGCCGTAGCTGTTTTTCGAACGTTGTGTCGTTCTGGCTTTTAGATCAGTGTGCAGATATCTTGTGGGTACGTGTGTATCACCCACATACACGATATTGTACGTAAACGTAAGCCTATTTTAATTATTAATTATATCTTACACAGAAAAGAAAAAAATAAAACATGATGAATAAAGACAACGAAAAAGATCGAACAAACGCAAAGAAAAAATCTTTCGGTATGACTTCGATATTTGTATTTTATCAATAATAATAAACAAATGTAGTATTTTCCCAAAAAAAATAAAACATTACATTCAATAAAAATATTTAAATTATGATCTGTCAAACCTCTCGCTATAGTACCAAGCTATAGTCACATTAACAGAATTTTAAAAATTCTATAAAAAGAATTCTTGTTAATCTAAACCTGGCGGCACAACAAACACCTGCGTAGGTTTATCAGTACACCAAGAAGTTCTACATCTTTTCGGAAAGTTACCGTGGGCTCTTTGAAATTTTGGGTTCATGATTAGAGAAAGCTTCAAAAACTTTTTTGTTATGTAAACACGTCTCTCTCTATTTTCTGCTTTGTTTAATAATTGTTTTAAGGATCAGTGTCTCTTCGTTGGGCAGTAACATGGGGTCAAAACCATCATCATCACATAATTGGCATTAAATTTTGCTAATTAATTAATTAATTTAATAATACAATAATAATAATGTCGTTACTTTTCCACCGTACATAACATTAAAAATTGACCAACATTAATAAAATGTTGATTGCTACTGCCTGCTAAACATTACACAATAAATAATATTTAATTTAAAATTTTAAAATAAATCCATGCGCTGCGTTCAGATCATACAATTTTTTTTTATAAACTTACATTCTGATCCCGGGCGACTTATTATTTAGAAGAGAAAATTTAATTAACATACAAACTCAATTTCGAATAAATCTTTTGAATTGCGCACGTGCATATGCCATATAGCAAATATACAGTTACACCAATTTCGTTTACAATACAATATGAACACAGCTCTCGACCATTAAAATAATAAAACTCTTAATTGTCTAAATTTAAAAAAATATATTAAATATTGAAAACTATGAAAATTGTGATGTCAATACAATCACAGTATTTCGCTTTAGAAATAATAAAATAAATAACTAATATGAGAAACAAACCACAGATACAGCAAAGAGCTTAAAGCTTGAAATATTGAGCACACTAAGCACAGTCAAGGGCTTATAGCTTGGTGTGTGTCAAGTTCTATGAACTCTTTGACTGCATGTGGCAAATACAATATTTCTACGTAGGTAAAATAAAGGACATGTGTACAAAAAAGCATGCATAATGTTGGCATATCACATATATTTTTCAATACAAATTTACACATACATTGTGAATCGAGGCAAGTGTGTAATGATACATGGCTCTATTTACACTGGAAGCGCAGTGGCTCAGTCTTGGTGCGGCGGCGCACAAGTACAGTACAAAAAGCGTATTGATTGATATCAACAATTTAGCCTGCTTCACTGGTGTTGCAGCTCGAACCAACATAGAATGGTGATTCCTACAATTAAGAACGGCGACATATCGTAATTTAAAAATAATTGCGAAAATAAGAAACAAACAGTTATTTAAAGAAATACATGACTTGTTTATTTCGGATAAATAATATTAAAAAAAAACATAATTCCATTTTATATGTGTATTAAATTGCAATTAATTATAATACTTTGTATTTATTATTTGAAATTATATCGTTATTTTCTACGGCTTTTAAATTTACTTTAATTAAGGGCGCAGCAGTAGCGCGGCTGTAGCGCTTCAATAATTTTTGTCACTAATTGTGCTTGGAAAAGTGGCACGCGCGGGTCGTCTCACGACAGTGGCGCTGCAACTGTGCTTCTAAATATTGAATGAAAATTGTAGAGGCGCGGCTGCAGCCCCACAGTGGCGTCAATGCAGCACTTCTATAAGCGTCCAAATTTGAAAGCACCTTAAGATGAATAATTTATTACAGACACCGTTCATAAGAAATTACTTGTTTTATTTACATCTTAAGATTTTACCAATAAGAAGAAAATGTACATTACTAACTCGCTATATTATTAAAAACTAGTACCATGCTAGTATTACAGTGTTATTGAGTAGATGTGTTTGTTACAACTCTAAAACGATCTATCAAAATCACCATGCTATGTTCGCTCGCGTGCAGGTACAGATTTCTTACCACCGTATGACTTATTTTCCGTAGTACAGAACCTGTACTATTAACAATAGTTTAGCGAATAACCACGGAAATCTTAAAGTTTATATTGTGGTAGGATTAGAGGCTTTTTTGCGGTAGTAAATTTTTGGCACTATAGTGAAAAAAATAATTTTATACGAACAGACAAAAACGACAGCAGCGGCTGTAATCGTCTACATTGAAAATCCGCATGATGTTCAGCGTGAATTGTCGAATGAAATATATTTTTAACCGACCTCAAAAATGGAGGAGGATCTCAGTTCGACAGCATTTTTTTCGTGTGCATGTTACGCAATTACTCCGATATTTGGAAACCGGTTTTCTTTTGTGTGATTGTTTTTTTTTTTGTTGGATAGGGAGTACCCCAGTAGTGGTCCCATTCAAATTTGAAGAAAATATTCCACCTCTAAGGGTGACAAATTAAGGAATGAATCCTGTTTATTGGATTTCACCCCCTGTCCGTTAACCGATTTCAATAAAACTAGATATAATTCCACAAACTTGAGGTCGGTTTTTTTCGAAAGAATGATTTTCAAATTAGACACTTTGGCTCCCGGATGTTTGGATTGTGCTGGTTCAATTGTTAAGACTACACTTGCTCCGATTGTAAAACAACAAAGTGCAATACTTGAAACTGAAGTACAGAACCACAAACTTATCTTGTGGCGCAAGCGTCTATGCAGTAACGTTAATCAATAACAATAATTCGCTGTACTGTGAGTACCAAAGCGGACAATATCTAGAGCTCCTCCGACCTGGGATCATACTTTCGAAGCACGAAATCCGTAGTTACAGTTGTTTTCCCGCTATAGATGACCTACTTCAGTTTCGATCGAGGCTACTACTAAGATTATATGACTACGCGATTTGACAACTATTTCGAACGGGTTAGTCCTTTTTTACAATATCAAGTGGCGAAACGAACAAACTCGTACGCCTGATCTGAGGGGCAGTGCTTCCGTCACGCTGAGACATAAGTTGACAAGTCCCATGTGCCTCTGTAATTTCACCAGCACCCTTACCCTTCGAAACCAGAACACAATAATGCTGACATTACTACTTGGCGGCAGAATTAGATAAAGTGACAGTACTTCCCTAGACGAACCTTTCACAAGCTCGACTGGTACTACGGATTTCGTGCTTCAAGAGTAGGGCCCCAAAACCAATTGGTCATCATTTAGTTTATACAATATTATCTGCCGGGCCATTGAGCGAGTGGTCAAAGTTCCATTGTTTGGCATATCGCGGATCAGTTCATCTATAATCCATCACAAACAAAAACCGATTGCGATTTCATATTACAGCATTCGAGATTGTACTAATTTTATAACATCAGCCTTTTAATTCACCTAGATTTGCTGATAAAATAATAATAACATATTTACAGGTGTATCTAAAAGATCTAGTCATATTTTGGCGTAAGGACGGCATCACACTTATGAACGAGGAATCCGCTTGACCCGGTTAGAAAAAAATATGCCTTAAGAATTTTGCCGACGCGAAAGACGAGTTTTTCGTACTTAAGCGTGAAACACACAGAGAACGGGTGCGGGTCCGGCGTGTGTCGGGTCGGGAGCACGACTGTCGTAATTACGTGTAAATGTAAATGGATGACGACATACCACGCGCGGGCGCGAGACGAGCGCACATCGGGTCCACCGCGCGCTCGTGACGTGTTGTCGGCCACATAAATACACGAAATTACACCCGCCATGCTCTCGGGTCGAGAGCATGCCGCACCCACTGTCAGTGTGTCAGTGTGCTTTATTGTATCGACGTTTAGCTTTTTCTGACCGGCTCAAGCCACTCCTTAGAAATGTTCATGATAATGAATAACTGTACAAATATTTTGCACCTTCCCATAGAATTCGTGTAGCAGTGATAGAATAAACAAGTCTTGAATAATATTTATTTTTTTCTCCGAACGATATGACTTAGGCCTTTTCAAGGTGAGAGTGAATAGGCATTATTTAGGTATGTATGCTCCATCGTCTATCTCATCGTTGCTATATCATTACTATCCATCAAGTAAAACTGAGGTCAAATGTGCAGTTATTTTTTTAAAGTTAAATTTAATTACAGTAATGCACACTTTTATGTCTCAAAATATCATTACACCTTTATGATACACCCTGTATAAGAAATGATAAAAAATATACTTTGTGAATATATGTGTAATATAATGAATTATCTAATAATTAATTAATTAATAATAATAATGATAATAACCCAGCCCGCTGGAGTTATATATCGTATTTATGTAAAAAAAAATACATATACCTATTTTTTTAAATCTCAATAATGTCGTTCTCATTTCACAAGTGAGGTCACCAAAAAGAAGTAACATTAAGTTAGGTTGCGTGTGGTGATTTGCTATCATTGTTTTAATCCAGGGTGGTTCCTTATCCATGTAACATCACATGTTTCGCAGTATATCAAAATATCACATTTAAATGTGCAAATAATAATTGAATAGCTTAAATAACATCATTATCACTGACAAAATAATGTACTATTTGTCTCATTTCCACATTGCCCATCACAGGGGCAGTTAGAAACAAGTGATTGAGAGTACCTTCTTTTTTCCTGATCGGGCAAACATAAAAATACTTCCACGTAGTATATGGTCTTCACTCCATGCAGATGAGGGCCAAATTGCAATATCACGAATTTTATTTATTCACTGGGCACGGTAGTGCCAAAGAACAAGTTTCAATTTTGTACCACTAGAACTTCACTGTGGCTAACATCAGCCGCATAGAGCATTACATTCATACCTGAAGTAGAAAAAAAAAAGAAAATTTAAATGAAAAATAAATAAAAAATAGTAGCGCGTTGCGAAAACAAAAACGAAATATAATAGGCATATTTATAGCAACACCCAGAAAATAGATAGGTACATTCTATTCTTGGAAGCTAATAATCCGAGCAATGCCGACTTTACTTTTATTGCTGATTATTTTTACCAAAAACTTTCAAGAGTAAAAAACATATCGCGATCGGTTTATTTGCTCCAGAGTGCGCAGTTAAAAGTGAATATTGCTTAAAATTTGTAAAAGAAATGAATACATAAATAAATAAAAAAAACAATAAAGAAGAAATTTAAATCAACTACATTACAATTCTGTCTAGTGTTATAGTGTCATTGACTAATATTTAAGTAATTTTATGATTCATCACATACATATTTAATTAAAATGGAGATTGGTTTAAGTTTAATGTTTAAAAACAATTTAATAAATAGCTATAGATTACGATATAGGATTCCCTACTGTACATATAATATACACATATAACATAGTATTGTACACAACAAAGCGTCTGTAACTTCTATACATAATATTTTTAATTGTTTACATGGTATATAAATATTAATTTACAATATTTGATGACTAGACTTAGCGGTACTTTTTACAATTTTTATTTTACTGTGCTTTAGGTTTTTTAAGAATTACGAGTAGGAGAAATTGAACAGAGATGGTATTAAAGTGTAAATGAAAACTATTTCATAAAATTTTGTCACTTTTTTTAGATGAACGTGGTGTTTTTTGGCTGCGTTTCTCAATTTCGTCACATGAATTGATTAAATATATTAACTTATTCTTTCTTCTTCTGTATAAATGATACAGATTATTTTTTAAATTACTAACATCATAAACAACATGTTTTGATCTATAACTTTTAATAATTTATCAAATTTTAATTTCAGATTTTTAACGGACTTCAAAAAAAGGAGGAGGCTCTCATTTCGACTGTTTATTTGTATGTATGTTACGCCATTACTCCGGCATTTGTGAACCGATTTCGAAAGAGGGTACCTCAGTATTGGACCCATTTGAAGAAAGTATTCCACTTATAAGAGTGGGAAACTCGCGCACGTTCCGGTAACCGATGTCAATAAAACTTGTGAAATAGATGTAATTCCACGAACTTTTGAGGTTTTAACAAAAAAGTTAAGATTACAGTTTAAATAAATCGGTCTGTGCGGTAACGAAGAAAGCGCTAGCATAAATATCAGTCCCATGGAAACGCAGGACGGGGGAGGGGGGCGTCAGGTAGGACGCTTGCACGTTTGAACTTACCACCGTACTACCAAATGTAGATCTAAAAAGTGTCAGATAGTATAACAAAAAGTTGTTTATGATGTTAGCAATATGGTCATGCGAGGTTGTTTTGGCGAAATTACAAGCACATGAGACTTATTCAACTTATGAGTAAGGGTGACGGGCGCAGTGGCAGTGCCCTCAGATCTTTGCGTTTTAAAGCTCTGAGTAGCCCTGCAACTGTTATGGTCAGGCGTGTAGCTTACCATCAGGCGCACCACTGTTCGTCCCGTCACTTTATATCATAAAAAAAAAGAAGACATATCCTGTATATCGTTGGTCATAATAAATTTTTTTCTTCGTGTTTTTCAACCAACTTGAAAAACTCGGCTAATTGAAAATATCGTATTATGACAATCGACTAATTATAACAAACGATACGTTAGTATAATAAATTTCATGTCAATATGACTACTTCTAAAGCATTATACTTTTCTCATGCAGCCAGTGTTTAACTATGGATTATCACTATAAAATATAAAAATACGCCTACATATTTATTGATAAAATTTTATGAAAAAGTTCCATTGATATTAGTTAGTTTCTAAATATAATGAAAGGAGATATTTCCATACGATTATAGAGGGAAAAAAAAATTGAAAAAGTAACTAAGCGATGATGTTGTTAGTTCGTGTCAAAATATCAGTCCGTGTCAAATGATTTCATCGTTCAAACTATCAATATGTAAACGTTATATAAAAATTAATCTTAGTGAAAGTAAAATGAATTTTAGCTCCAATCATAGGTGCACCCTACAATCATGGACTTAAGGTTAAATTTGACTTTGGGACCAACTAAAAAATATTATAGCATAAAACCCTCAGCCCATTTGCGTTAGAGCACTTGTATTTTTCATACAGATCACAAATTAGTTCAGCTGCAGAACCAAGCCCAATTATAACACCCAAACCTAAAAGGCCTCAGGCCATTACCTGTCGCGATGCGTGTCTAGCAAATACTCCTTCAGCCTTCTCACGAGATGTTCGGAGAGCTGCGTCACCTCAGGCCATTGCTTTAGCACCATTACGCCCACCATCACAGCCACACTCGTTGTTAGAACTCGTACTCTGTTGCATATGGGATTAAAGTTAATATTCAAATGTTATGACCTCGGTGGCCGAGCCGTTAGTACTCCGGGTGCTAGATGAAAAAAAATATTCAGAGTTCGATTTGTGATTGTATCAAGTTAGAAAACTTTTTGAATTGACTCTGGTTGTTTGCCACCCGGAAAGGCAGCGAATCTGAGGAGCCCGATATAGACGGCGCTGGGGAACTACGGGGCAGTGGGCAACTTTCAATTTTGCAGTCACAGAACAATAAAGTAGAAATGGTCAGTTAGCGTCAGACGCGTGCCAACTATAGGTCTCGAAAGACCTATCTGAGCTAGTCCGCTATTTTCCCTTTGTATGGTATGGTTGTCATTCTTTCGTGCAAATTCTCTAAAATCCTAGGAAAATGCCTCATTGCGCTGTTTGGAGTGCAAAAATGTTAACCGTGGTGGTATTTCATATCATCGGAAAGTCTTATTTTAATAAATTTTCAGTTGTCTGTTCATAGAAATAATTTTTTTATTACAAGAAACGAAAGTAAAGGTTATATACTCCTGCAATATGATCGCTTCTTTTTTGGAGAACTGAATCAATAACTCCAATTCGTCGTCTTTCAGCAATTAACCGCTAGATGGCAGCACATTGATTGAAATTTCAACGATATGCCAGCAGGGTAAAGATTAAATTATATTAACAATCCAGAATTTGTTATTCTTTTTAAATTTGAATCGACGACCAATCAATATCAAGATTTTGTAGTGTTTCAAATTAAGGATGTGTGAGTTTTGGCGACAACGGTTCTAGTAGTAATCGAGGCTTAAGGTACTTCCATTGATTTTTTTCTTCCGTGTTTGCAATAATGAAACTTTTCAACAGAAATGTGCTAATTATTACAATAAAAATGCCGCAAGTTTGTGTAGTGCCTTCCCGTTTGTTGAGAGCGGCATAAACGTTTTACAAATAAATGTAAAGGATGTTAAATAAATTTTTAACAATTGGCATCACAAAATTAAGAAACGCTATTCACATTCACCTGGTACGCAAGAAGGGCATAGCGATCCCGGCGACAGTGGCGACCAACAATAAGATAAGTTGTAGCAGCGTGAGCGCCACATTAAGCAGCTTCACCAGCAGCAACCGCGGCGGCAGGGCAGCGGCGCCGCCAGACTCACCGGCCGCGCCACCCGCCCCGCCGCCGCCGCCGCCGCCCGCCAACCATTGTTCTAATTTTATAATCTGCACACGACAAACGGTAATCATTTTCAGCAGTTTTCAAATAAGCGCCATCTACTAAGCATGGCAAGAACAATAGCAACCGCGTAGAAAGATTATTTACTCGCTGCAGACAGACTGCCATAAATTATAGGAACGGGACAGCCATATTGCGTTCTCTCTCTCCCACTGACCAGTAGCGTACGGGGCAGGCAGATGACAAATACTATACCAATATCGCATTCTCTCTCCAATGATTTATGGCCGAGTCTGCAGCGAGTAAATAAAGGCAATCGTGCTCTAACTGTTCTTTTTCCATAATTTGATTAATCAGTGCAAGCGATACTGTGTGCATTTCTCAGTCACATTACGCAAGACGTCAGCTTTGAATCTGTACAGTCACCAGCACATGCACTGTTATACAAGTGTTGTTCATAGCGATGTCATAAATTGATCTATGCAAATAAAACTTACTTTGGTTTGACATAGATCTAGAGCTTCGTGTATATCTCGTATACGCTCTTCGCTCTGGTATTGAACTTTTTCTTCCACGTCCGTAAGTGCTTGTTTTAAATTTTCTACCTGCAATTCGAATAGAAAGAACAATTAATAATAACAAATAATAGAAAAAAATAAAAGCGGATCTTGCGGCGGATCTTTCATCATTCAGCCATACGACGCCCACTGCTGGGCATAGGCCTCCCCAAACGATCTCCACGACGATCGGTCCTGCGCGGCGGATCTTTAATGGGTGATTATTCTCGCTCTCAATTAATGTGTATGAAATGCTGTAGAGAGGCTAAGACGCTATACCATTTAATTGATTTATGCTATTTCCACTGTTAGGTCAACGTGATCTTTGGAACAAAATCCTCAAAATACAAAAACCCTGTTGAATAATCAGAGTGCTCTTGTCTTATCAAAATACTGCTCACTGAGCAACTGTCTCCGTCACGTTAAGAGGAAATGCATTTGACCCTCCTCTATTCAGTCAAATTTCTTTTTTTATCTCGCCAAGGTAACGTTACATCCTTCGTCAGTGTACATACTCTTTGTTAAATTTTTATTTAACCAGCACAATGACACTAAGACGGACACCATTCTTCGAAGCCTAATCCGTGATCAAATCCCTAAATAGGACAAAATGACATTGATGTGTTGAGTAAGACTGAATGAAAACTTCTAACATCCGCTGGTTACTACTTGGAGACAGTCACCGTCCAAAGAACTGTGGTCCGAATTCTGCAACTTACTTTTGACTGGTGATCGACTCAACCATGTTTACATGTTTACGTATAAGTACTGTAAGAGTAAGTTATGTAAAGTAATACTTGTGAAATAACCACAACGTTCCGTATCATTTCAATTGCGTGATTTACCTGGGTCAAATGGATTGAGATGGAATTTCGAGAAAGTAAGACTATAATTAGTAAAGCACAGATATAAGCGAGAAAGGTAGATTGTCTCGTCTCGGTAGTAAAGACTGTAAGTCATTGTTGCTTTAGGATGAAAAAAAAACTAATACAGCAAGTATCACCTATGATTAGTATTATTATTACGCTTTTAGTTTTTATTGAAATAACAATAGGGGATATTACAAAAATATGTAAATCACGTCTTAGCGTGCTATTCTGTTTGTTATAGGAAATAATTGTTTCAGTAACTGCAAGTGTAATTAGCTTACCTATGAAACCAAGAATTTGAGTTTTGCCTCGTTATTTTCCGTGTTTACTTTGGTTATTTTTAAAGTTAACCCATTATTGGGCGACTCAATACAAAATATTTTACAGAACATTAATTCATGTATAATAAATAGAAAGTTGTATAAACGACTTTTTGTTGAAATTTGTAGTCCAGGTTCGTGATAGTTTCACCTTCGAGAATATCAACTCTTTACCGGTGGCACATACAAACTATGTACATTCCACAGCTGGGCACGTGTTTCCACTGAGGAGACGGAATAGGCAATTTAAAGAATAATAAGAGAGGTATGCTCAGGTATTTTGCCCAACATAAAACCAAGTTGTTTTGGATTGAAAATGTACTGTCACTGTGTGTGTAAATGGTGTAAGTGCAAATTACAACAAAGAATGTTATCAGTTTATTTGTGGGCGACCGCACCTCGTTCTGATGCAACTCCGTTAAATCGTTGATTTGCTCCTCCAAACGCTCAGTCTTAAACCGCTCCTCCTGCAGCGCACCAGACAGGAACGACACCTCTTGCGACAGATTCTGAAACTTATTGTGGACGTATTTACATCGGCCGAGGGACACGTTCCAAAGCTTAACACGAACTCTATAGTAACGATAAAATTATAACATAAAATGTAAACCTATAAGTTCACCAAGGACCTGTCAAAAAATATCTGACACCGTTGGTATTGTCAGTAGAAAAATATGTGAGATTAATATTATAAAAGGAAAGAAACCGTTTTCGAGCATACAAAAGAGGCTTACTACTTAACAATCAAATACAAAAAGTATCATCGCAACACTGCAATTTATTTAAATTAAAATTAAATAGTGTTTGTTTCCTACCTTCAGCGCATCGATCTTTTCTGCCAGCCGTTCATAGTCCTCTCTCCTCTCGCGCAGTTCATTCAATATCGGCTTGATTGAGAACGCCGTCTCAGACATGTTATTCGATCCGGGTTGCGTAGGGTACCTAACAGTTTTAAATGATTATCATATCAGCCAAAAGACGTCCACTGCTGAACGTAGGGCTCCCCCAAAGAATGTCACAACGATCTATCGTGTCACGCAACAGTTTAAAATACCGAGTGAAAATTAAATGTAAATTATTATTTAGCAGTACCTCTACCACGAGTTTAAAGAGACCGTTGTGAAATAAAATATTTGTACACAAAATTGTCAAATATTTTCAACGGCCGCTAGCCATAACTGTAATTATAATAATCGTTTTTTTTTTATAATATCAAGTGACGGGACGAACAAGTCGTGCGCCTGGCGGTAAGCGATACGAGTATCCATAACAACTGCAGTGTCACTAAGAGCTTTTAATCGCAAACATCTTAGGGGCACTGTCACTGTGCCGGTCACCTTGAGACATAAGAAGTCCCATCCATGTGCTTGTAACTTCACCAGCACCCCTTTATAACCGCATCGCAGTAATGCTCACATTACTGCTTGGCGGCAGAAATAGGTAAGGTGACAGTACTTCCCTGGACGACCTCTTTCACAAACAGCTCTACTGCTACTAAATGATAATGTACCTGACAACCATACCAATTGCCTGGTCTCAAACTAGAGAATTCCCTTTAACTATGAGTACCAGAACAACGGAATTCACTCTGGGTCGCTTCCCGGAACACCCAAACCAGAACCAATTTCTTGTTGAAAAGAAAAAAAGTTAATTTCCCTATCGGGATTCGAACCTTGGGTCACCGAGGTTGATAACAACAACAACTGTAAACTCATTGTGAATTTACGAGGTTCTCATGGGAAAGATCATCATATTACGTGGAATAAACCCCTTTAGACGTAAAGCAACACAACAACAAACAATAACAACCTGTATAAAAAGGTCCACTAAGGATTATACAAAAAGCACACTTTGCTCACATTACTGAGTTCCTGATATGGACACTTCGCATTCTTCCAATTAAACCAATGCCTCAGATTTCTAAAATCAACAACACTCCTTAAATAGAACATATTCGTTTCTTTGGGTCACGGATCGTTGGTAAAAATTAGACAATCCAAGACAGTACTCAAACTGTCCGAGTTTAACATAAATTTACATAATTTACAATATAAATTTCCATAACTAAATGACCCTCAATAAACCGCGGCTATCGCAGAGCCGCAAGTCTTAATACATTGGTCTTAGTGAAGTTAATCGAGTAGTTACCGAAAGATTAGAGTTCTCGGTTTTCCTATATTTCCTATAGTTTGTCTATATTTCAGTGCAAACAAGAGTTGATATTTATAAGAGCTGTATCGCTAATGTGTTACCAGGAATATATGGCCCTTATTTCGTCTCTATTTCTGGTTATATACTCGATGGCTGAAATAGAACAGCGCCAACCACTGACCTGTGTGTACGTCACCGTATAGTCCAAAAATATTCTGCATTTATTGTAATAAAGATAATATCTCTAACTATGAGGGGCTGTTCCATTCGGTGGTTTGGGACAAACAGCAAAACATCTAATTTCAAAATAAATAGAATCACATTTCGTCGGTAACTAAGTATTAAATATGTAATTTTTCAATAATGTCCAGGGCTAGCTTTGCCTACGGCCTCCTCGAGTAATACTATTGAAGTATAGGTAATTGTTTAATTTAATTTATATAAATTAAAAATAAAATTTATACAAATTAAATTTTTCATATCTATTAATATTTTCTGCTAGATAGATAGGTAACAGTAGATGTAAAGTAATAAAATTGAAAGATTTTAATACTTAAGTTTTATTGAATGTCACGATGTCTGACCACCATTATATTCAATTATTTTTGTGAAATTACTCCACTAGTTCGTTAGTTAGATCGAAGATTAAGAAAAAAATTCCTTCGATCCGGCTGGATTCGAACCCAACGTCTTCCAACAAACGAAAACCGAAAAAAACAAAATGGACGAATTGAAAAATTACAATATTTAATTACCGATATAATGTGATTACTTTTAAATTAGATGTTTTGCTGTTCACCACATAATGGAACAGCCCCCCTATAGTTATTATCTTTATTACAATAAATACAGAATATTTTTGGAATATACAGGACGTACAGTTCAGTTATTTGATCAGTTGTTGGCGCTGTATTATTTCAGCTTTCTAATTTGTGATTTCAGTACAAACGGTATTAATATTTAAAAGCGATTTAAGGCCAATTTGCATCAGGCAATACTACAATACTACTTGGCTTAACGAAATCGTGTTCCGGGCGTTGAAAAGTACACATTTACTTACGGAGCGCCTTCACTGGTGATGGAAGAACTTGGCGACGCTTCGGGCGAGTATTTTGGCCCAGGCGAAGTTGCGGCGCGCGGCAGTGTGGATCCTCGGGGCGCGGCTGCTTCACCCGCTTCGGACGCCCGGCTCCCTTCAGATGACGCGTTCGCTGCGACGTTGTAGCAACACTCAATACACATAGTAATTTATTTCATAGACCCATCTTTTCACGGATGTGATGCCTATAATGTATGACATTTGAATTGCCAATGTTTCTAAATATATTTCATTTCGTCGCCTTACTTTCTCAAAAGCGTATCTTAAAGGACAAAGTTACTGCAACGCAAAAAATGGATTGTATATACAAATTTTGCAGGCTGATTTTGCATCACATTTCCCTCATATTTACACACTAGCTTTTAACTATTCTTAAAGTAATGCATCCAAATTAACAGCCTTGATAAGAAATTTAAAATAAATAGAAAGTTTTGCGTGTCCTGAATACTGTTTATAAAGATACTACGAGTTTGAGAAAGTAAGACATCGTTTTCGTCTTTGACTAAATATGTTATGCCCAATTCGAGATTTGCGATTGGTTTACAACACGGTATTACAAAGCGTAAGATTTAAACGTGTTGAATTACATGCAATTTGCCTTAGTATCACGCATTTAGACTTTATATGATGAGATATTACTAAATACCAACGATTAGAGATTAATTAGACTTAAAAAAAAAGGAAAAGCGCGCCATTATTGTAATTATTTTTGGTAATTGACAGTTGTATGAAAAAAAAACCATCTTTCAAAAACTTTAAGACAAAATAAAGTAAAAAAGTCATACTAAAAAATCGATGTTTAGCCAATTTTTAAATATGAAATTTGTATTTCGCACATAAATTGTTTTTATTGTTTTCTTAACTTCATTTATAGTAAAATAAATAGTATCATTCATACATACATTCACAACCTTGGATTTCCATTGACGTAAGCATAGATTTCTACTTTGTGCGATATTAACGAATCTCTCTTGCTTCACTTACATTCGCTCACTCACTCCTTTTCAAGAACATTCTCGATTTGATCTGAAAACGTTCTACGTGGATGTCCATTTCCATTATTGCCTTTCACGCTGGCTCTAGATATATATTTCTTTCGTCAATCCACTTTCCTTAATCCGCTCCATGTGCTCAAAACATTCAAACATTATATTAATTGCAGAATACGTAATGCATTGTTTGAATCCGTAAATAAATACATCACATTTATTTCGAGAACAACGCCTTTATTATAGCTCCGCTTCAAAACAAACAACTACAAAATAAAATAAACACAAATGGTATTACATATTTACACTTCCACTTTTAGAATGCGTTCTCGTGCTCCACAGTCAAAACATTACTTAGTGTAAACATTTGGCCAATTGAACATAAACTTTGCGATAAGCGCCACCAGCCCGGGTATGAATGTTTTTTTTAAAGATCAAAACACGACCACCATAATAATTTCATTAAAAAAAATTATAATAAAAACGTGAAGTTAGTTCCATAAATATTATAGTGCAACAAAAGCGAAACAATTGTACAATATAAGAGTACCTTCATGTCGCAAGATGTCCATGCTACTAAAACGGCGGACATTATCAATTTGCGCATACACAAGACAAAAGGTGTTTCTTTGTGGAACTAATTAGATGCATGTGTTAGTCTTGGAATTTTTTATTTTTCTTTCGACATAATATAATAATGAATATATTGGGATCAAGAAAAACAACTATAGTTTTATATATTTCATTTAAAGTTTGGGACAAATTTAGCTGAAAAATAAAATAAATAAGTCTTTATTTCGATATGAATACAGTGTGTGCGATCCTCATCCATATCTTCACTATTGTGGACAAATGAATAACTAGTTTACATTAAAAAACTGTCAAATTCAATTTAAGTAAAGAGACACTGTTAAACTAGGCAACATATTTTCGTTGACGTAATATTCTATGATTAATATTTTAATAGGCCTAATTCTATTTATACTAGACCTGTATCCAATCAATCGAACATGACCCATAATGTGATCGGGTCAAATAATTCGATCAATTGCTTGAAATTTTTTGGATCATGAATGCTCTATTCGACCCAATCAAACAGTGTAAAGAGAGAGATGGCGAAACCGGAGCGTGCGGACTTCACCTGAGAACGAACTAGCCAACAATAAATATTGAGTTTGATGTGAATTGATGAAAAATATCTGAACTTATAAACATAAAGTTCAATTTTACGGGCATGACCCGCGCTGAGTCGGACAAAAACGATCGAATCTATTAAAGGCCCGCGATTTGAGTCATCGTGCACAAGTGTTGACGAATCATTTTGATTCGATCGACCACGATCGACACAGCTCTAATTTATACAACTAATTAATCAAATCAATGGTATCTTGTAGTTACGATATAAAAACTTAATGTCTAAAATAATTATTTGTTAAAATCCCTGTAAATGGTGTAGTTTCAGAAGTACATAACTCAAGGTCTTTTAATTCTCGATCTAAATGAGTATGTTGATTTTTCTAGACAACAAAAACATTTTCCATCTATTTTCAAAAAAAGTATCACTATAAAAAACCTACAATAACCACATCCACCAAAACATAATAAGATCAAAAAACTTTGCACAAAAGAGAAAAAGGTTTATGAATTCCTAAAATGGGAATACCATATCATCTGAATGGACATGGACATCACTGTACGAAACTTAAAAACGATGTCCACGCAGCAGGGAAACATAGCAATATTCTCAAATATATAACGCGCCCATGACGCCTAGGACCATCCTTTTACGGTACCAATAAAAGTAGCAGTGGAAATATTTTGGCACCTACTCTTAAGGTGCCCATAAAATGAGTACTAATTAATGTTTTGGTACTTCATAATCTTCAAACTATCTACTTAAGAAAATATGATATAAATAGTGCATGCAATAAAAATATTAGAGTCGACAAGCATAGCGTTTATTTACCTCTCAGTTCCGCGTGTTGTGGGGCTAGCGTGCAAGAACGAGACGGCATATATAATAAGCAACATAATATTATTATGCAATATTATTGTGAGTAGAAATAATAATACTTATGCAATGTATTACAAAGACTAAAGGAGAAATTTTTATAATGCCTCTTACTAAAAAATAAATAAAATAATCATCAAACGTGACCTAAATGGCATTAAATAGGTAGACCTAGATGTACTTAGGGGCCTGTCCAGACCACAGATCACTGCGGCAAAATCTGTGGGTCGGCAATTCGACAAACTTTTTCGCATATATATTTTCGTATATTATCCGGCCCTGTAAAATGCCCTCTGGCATGTGACTTTTATATTCTTGGCACACAAAAATTTATTGAAACATCTCAAGCCACAATGAATAATCAGTTATTTTTGGAAATTAGTCAATCCTATTTCATAATGCTATATAGTGAAGTTGTTTTATGCAGGACAGAATAATACAATGATCAGTTCAGTTGACGTATTTATGAAATATAAAGATTGATTGATTGATGCATACATTCTTTTTACATTTATGACATCCGCAACTGTGACGGATCCTGTATTAATTAATTTAATTTGTATTGTTTATTTATTTTTACAATCAACATTTATAATGTATCATACTATATTAATTAATGCCCGCCTTCCAATGCAAAAGGGTAATGAGCGGGATATAGCTGAGCGAAACGGCGTAAAATAGTTTTGTTCTTCCACTAGGAAAGAGTTTCACTAAAAAGAGGTATTTGCCTTCCATTGCCAGCTGCCTAAGCGGAGTGACCTTACGGGGATTAATGCATTAAAGGAAAGTTCCAGTCTCAAAATATCACAAATTGCTTTCCTTCTGAGAACGTTCACTTTCAGACCAGACACAACAGACCCATCTTAACTCACCGAGTCCGCTTCGTTCTTTCGTTAGTGGTGAAAGCACTTAGGGCGCATTTATTCGCCACAAGTTTCATCGCGCTCACCCGAATATCAACGTGTGTGGTCGCAGAGCGGAGTCCGCGTTGCCGCCGCACAGCGACCGCGTGCGTCTGACTGTCATGGCAAAATACGCTCTATTTGTTTAGAAGTTACGTTTAAACTCGCCCGCGTGTCTGGCTTGAATCTACGCGGCGACCGCGCGGTTGTATTATTCAGAGGAATTTAAATGTTGTTGCCTACTAAATAGAATTCAGATTTGCCATTAATGTACACGAAGGCGTGGTAATTAGGCGGAAAAATAGAAAATAAAAATTTTCTCCTCGTGTAACTGGGCGCTTACTGTTATTAGTCAAACAGAGTCCGTTATGTCAGTCCGTTGTGGAAGGCGGGCATTGAAACGGAGAAATGAATATAATTTGATTTGATAATAAAACACTCACTTCCGAGAAGTATTTTATTTAAGTAATTTGTTGGATCAAATCTTACATGAAATCCATATTTTGAATCAGATAGAAGTATTACCAACTTTTCCTTTTAACTTACCATATATTCTAAAGAAGGTATCATTGCATCCAATACCGCCTACTGTGTCGGTATAAGCAGGCATTCGTAAATAAATAAAACACTTCTCGGAAGTGAGTAGTTATTAATGTATGTCCTTTTATATAATGAATTATAGATGAATATAATTTATTGATAAAGATTGACATGAGCTACAGATAAAGACGTGAAGTGTTAAAAGTAACTTGCCCTTAAAAATGTTCGTAATGCGTGTTACTACAGTTAGTTCAATTAGGGAATATATAAATTTAAGAAATATAAATCACAGTATTCTAATATAATAACTAAACAACTTAAGGGACAGCTTTAACAACCATACTATAGTAAAACATTATGAAAGAAACAAAAACCTTTACCTTTAAAAAAACAATTCCAATTCACAAAAATACACTAAATAAAATAAACAATATTATAATTACATTTTTTCCTACACCGTCTGCACTTATTGAAAAACATTTATTAAAAGATTGTACGAAGGCGAGCGTTTGTTCCATACACACGTTGCATGTCTGAAGTCTTTAAATTTGTTACTGTCATGTTAGATAACATGAAAAACTCAGTCTTGAGTCACGTAACGTTCTAATCTGTGTCACACATCTTTGCTAAGTTTCTGTCTTATATATTATGGATATTATTATATATTAGCGTCTAGTGTGCTTTTATATAAACTTAAATCCAGTTTAATTTGGGCCCAATCAGCCGCGATCGTGGGGCCTATGAACAGTCAGCAACATTGTTTTGTTTGAAAGAAACGAATACACGAGAATTTAGATCCGGACAAAATAGTTGCATTTCCAATTTATTATACAGTTATTTAATGATGTACAGGAAATAAGAAAATTACTTCAAGACGCAAGTTATTTTATAAATGTTTACTGTCATGCAAAAATTTACCTTAAAAAGGCATCACCAGTATTTCTTTTTAATTAATGAGCATGTCAGTTTTCTGTATTTTGCCGCAGCTAATGAGATCCTCCTTGACAGGAGGATTATGTTGTTTTTTTTTAATGGCTTAGTATAACTATTGGCAACTAGCAGGAATAGCGGGTCGATTAATTCAGGCTTTCGTCAGTCGTTAGGTATCGATTTAATAGCTTAAAATATTGTAATTTGTGAAAACAAATTAATAACGTCAACATTTTAAATTTACAAGACTTCAGAATTTTGTTGTAAAAACTTTATAATCTGAATCCTATGTTGAAAGGTTAATTTCAAAATGGCCATACCTTTCGAACGACAATTTCATACTATTTCCTTTTTACATCTCACCCTGTATGGTGATTAGATTACTCAACACGTGATATATATTAAGTTGATAAGATACGGATAACGTTATCAATTGTATTTAAGGTTAGCAAATATGCTTCTCGTATGTGCACTCAACCACAGATTAAGCAAAACCGTCACATTTTAAAATTGCAAATTTGAATGCTACGAAAATGACATAAAATAACACTGCGAAAAACAATTTCGACACATTGTATATCTTAAGAAATCGATATATCCTTTATTAATACGCGCCCTCAAAAAAGGAATTTTACCAAGCAGTTTATACTAGCCTAGATGGCGCCTATTGTTGTAAGAAAATATATGAATCGTTATTTTATTCTTAATTTTACATTACTTTTAATTATTAATAGAAAGATCGAACATTTAGAAAAAACTCCTTCGATCCAATGGCACGGTATGCTAGAAGACGTCGGTTCGAATCCGGCCGGATCTTTGTATTAATAATTATAACAAACTAGTGGAGTAATTTCACAAAAATAATTGAATATCAATTCAATAAAAATTTAAAATACAGTGAATAGCGACATCTCTCGCCAGGGCTGGTAGCTGCAAAGGTATCTAACTGGGTGATAAAGCTTTCATAGATTTCTCATAGATGGCGCTACGACTAAAAGTCGTTAAAAACCAAACACAAAGACTTGACAACAAGCACATACAAAAATTCGTGAGGTCCGCTGGTTCGTTCCGTTGCTTAGTTGGCGTCTGGCACGGCATGCTAGAAGACGTCGGTTCTAATCCGGCCGGATCGAAGGAATTTTTTCTGAGTGTTCGATTTTTGTGATAATAATTATAACATTCTAGTGGAGTAATTTCACAAAAATACACACAATTCACAACCCTTGAAAAACGTGTGAAGTCCACCATTGGACCAGTGTGGCGGACTATGACTTAAACCCCTTCTTTAGAGGAGACCCCTGCCCAGTGGTGGGACGTATGATGGATTGATAATGTTGTTGTCTTTCAATAATGTTTTGTTGTGTATGTGAGGTCGTACATCTGAGACTAAATTAGTGTAGTGATGTAACCCAATTTGTATGAAAGTTAGCGCACGTGGAAAATTGAACTCAGTAGAGTGAATGACAATAGTCAATCACGATAAAACGATTCTTAGTCCACTGTAAAACCAAGCGAAGTGTTAGCTGTATTGTACATGACAAATTTAAAGAGAACTTGCTGTTACTTTGTTTTGAATAAAATATTTTTTTTTTAATAATATCAAGTGACGGGACGAACAAGTTGTGCGCCTGATGGTAAGCTACACGCCTGTCCATAACAGTTGCAGTGCCACTCAGAGCTTTAAAGCACAAAGATCTGAGAAGCACTGCCACTGCACCCGTCACCCTGAGACATAAGTTGACAAGTCCCATGTGCCTGTAATTTCACCAGCACCCCTACCCTTCAAAACCGGAACACAGTAATGCTGATATTATTGCTTGGCGGCAGAAATAGGTAAGGTGGCAGTATTTCCCTGGACAAACTCTTTCACAAGGAGCTTTGCTGCTAGTAAAAGAGACAATATTTTTATAGGTTTGGCTATGTCATATCCTTAAAAAAGGAGTGGATTTTGGAATATATTCAATTATAGGACTCAAACTACAATGGTTTTAACTACAGAATCTATTTGTAAATTAGTTATTTCAGAAGTCGTAAATAGGACGTGTGGAGTAAAATTAAAAAGTGATCAGTCAATACAAAAAAATAAAATTATAGCGTGTATTATTGTTACTGGTTAAAGGGTGCTGCGTGTAATGATCTCGGTTATATAAGAGTTATACAGGGTGCTACATTACACGATACTTACAGGGACCCGTGTTTTCTGTGAGACAAAATAGATATTGCTGTTACATAGAGTACAGACACATACATATATAAAACAACATACTTAAACAATTTTAAGAAAATAAAATATATGTAATACACATAAACACATAGAATTAACATTGTTATCTTTATGTAGTTTTTCTTAGTAAGATGGACACATAAAGCATAGCGCAGAGCGATATAATATCAACTTTTTCGTCAAAATACTAGTCAATTTTGCATAAGCAAGGCATTAGGCTAATCACAACTGTAATTATCAAGTAGGTATTGACAGAGTGTAACAGAAAAGGAGCGTACAGCAACTCAATTTTAGCTGGTGTTCGCGCTTTTGCTAACAAAATACTTTAACCATAAGAAAATTAAAATTCAAAATAAAAATTGTGATAGCCTTGCAAATATCCAAACATGTTTTGTTTTTCTTTGGTTATCATTGATATAATCAATAAGTGAATATAGGTGACCTTTTTGTTACAACCTGTACATTAGTATCGAATTGTACAACCCAATGGAAATATCTATGGACCTCGACTCCCTTCTTATTCGTCCATCGTCAGCCCGCCCTTACCCGCTCGGTGCCGTTGCCACAGCCAACATACATTATATTAACAAAAGTATTAGAATTTTTCTGAAATATTCTGACCTATTTTAAATATTATATTTGGTTCACCAATCTCAACGCGATCAGTGTTGATTTTTGACAGGCCCACAGATATATCCATTGAGTTTTATCTTCCAATTATAAATCTAATTTGACAGACCTAAAAATTTTGTCATTCTTTTCGATCTGTACTACATTAAAAGGGACGAGAATATTGTTTATATCCATGAAATTATTTAAGATGCAAAATAGATAAAAGAGTAACAGAACTGATAATGTTGCTTATCCATTTGGATGACAACACTGCACTATGCTCTACATTAAAATTTTTTTAATTGTTATATACAGTAGATGGTAATATTGCATGCTACACCCTAGCAAATATCCTCATTTTTTGGGTAGGTTTCCGATAGTTTAAAAAGTTATAGCGGAAAACTTCAGTCTTACGTATTTCTTTTTTATTTCTGATGTCTCGAGTGTATGCCCCTAACAATGCTCTAAGAGCTTTCTAGAATAGCGACCTATCCCAAAGACCACATAAGGGCTAGCGTAAACCGGCAGAAGGGATGGTAGAGGACATTAAATTTATCATTGCTTATTTTATGCTATTTCAATTGAATTAAGGTATAAATTGCAATGCTCTTTAGATCGAACTTGCGAGGATCGCAGCGCATTTCTCTCTGCGTCTCAGAGCATTTAAATTTATACCTTACTTAATTTAAAACAGCATAAAATATACGAGTAGATTGATAAATTTAATGTCATCTACCTTGCCGTCCGCGGGTTTGTGCTAAGTCGTCAGAAAGATGTTTAAAAAATCTGAGGCGTTTCGTATACAGGCCCAATGATCTCTGGTGATTATTTTACATATGAGAAGCTCGGTGTCTAATTCAGAATAAAGTTTCTCTTTTTCTGAACAAAACTGTGTACGAATAAGAAAAAAAATATTTCGATTTGGACCATTATTCTTAACGAGCAGAGATATCGAATACTTTCTACAATTACTTCATAACAAGAACATATGCAACATGAAAACTAATAAATGTCAATATTAAATTATCAACGATGTGACATCTTCTTCAGTGTTGTAATGAGGTTTAGTAATAAGTGTTTTGTTAGTCGGTTAACGTGAGTTCTTATGTCAGGGACCCCAGAAACTCTTCAAAAGGTTAAGAGTCGTATTCCAGAATTCTACTCAATGCTCAAGTCAGGACTTGAGTATGATGTCAAGCACTGGAAATACGACCCTAATGGCAAGGACTTGAGTATAATTTCTAGTGCATGAAATCATTCTCAAGTCCTGACTTGAGCATTGAGCAGAGTTCTGGAATACGACCCTAAGTATCGTGTAGATTCGTTTTCGCTAGGTGTAGACATACAACGCATATTTGTAAGGGTCAATTTGGTAAAAGCTGTGGTAAAAGTAAGTGCATACAGACCGGCGAGCTGCGAGATGTTATCCGCCGAACCGAAGCGATTAGACCTCGTGAAGAGATGAGCAAACTCGCGTGGCGCCGCCATCACGCTTCCACCAAGTCCTGTGATGCCATCGCGGATGTTGCCGCCAACGTTCCTGAACACATAAATAAAATAAATAAACATTAAACAACATTAACGTCAAGTAAGTAACTAAAGCACATGTGTTATGCAAATCGGAAACACCCAGTGTTCGACGTTCCGTCCGAAACAATGACGGCGCGTGTACACGCTAAGAAATTTGTCGTGTCTGCAAAAGAAAAAACGAGAACGGCCTTGTACACGGCAAGAATTTTGTTGGAACTAGCCACTGCTACACAGTGTGTACACAGTTCGTGTGTAGGAAACGACACGATTTCTTGCATAGACCCGGCGACTTTTCTTAGCGTGTACACGCGCCGTTACTGTGAAATAAGTAACTAATACTCGATCATATCAACAGACTATGTCAAGTATGATGCTTCAATCGCATCACTTTTAATTTTATTTTTTATTATTGTATTAGGCACATCAACATTATATATATATAATGTTGATATATATATATTACAATTAACAAAAATGAGACTTAAAGCCAGGACTGATACATATAACAATTACAGACGTACAAAACATTCGCTATACACTGCACTATATATATTCAATTTCACGACAACAACGCTGACACACTTACACAATGCTTTAAAAAAAATTACTTTGGTAATTTATTTTTACATAAATTGAAAATTAACAACAAAAGCGAAAAATCAATAAATTAATACACACACACTACTACTGTTAATATTATTATTATTTAAAATGTAAAGTTAACATATGCCTAAATACAACAAAGTGTCAGCAAACATATCCGCATCATATATACTTCTCAAATCATTGTAGCTTCTACATTTTTTTATAACATCAAGTGACGGGACGAACAAGGCGTGCGCCTGGTGATAAGCTACACGCCTGTCCATAACAGTTACAGTGCCCCTCAGGGCATTAGATTGCAAAGATCTGAGGGGCACTACCACTGCGCCCGTCAAACTAAGACATAAGTTGACTAGACCCGTGTGCCTGTAATTTCACCTGCACCCTTTCTTATTCCAAATTGGAACGCATTAATGGTCACATTATTGCTTGGCGGCAGTACTTCCCTACACAAACCGTTTCACAAGGAGCTCTACTGCTACTAACAAAAAAAAGTGCAAAGAGTCATAGACGATAACTTACTTCAACCCCTGTCCCATATCCCGTAACACTTCCCTTGGTTGTCTATGCGACTGTCCACTTGTGCCATGTTGCTGTAAAAAAGCGTAAATTTAAAAAAAATATCGTTGCTTGTTTTGGCTGCTTCGAACCATTTATATGCAACTTTTTGCCCTGGCTATTCAAAGAACACTTATAGGCAAGAATAAATTTGGTGACGACAGATGATGTGTGTAATCCTTGACAGAACCTTGTCGTTGTGTGCCATTCTTCTATGTGGAGGATAAGCGAAAAAAACTGTTTTCAAATGGTTTAAATGTTTACTACTAAATAATGGTCTTAATCGGTCTAACAATATATACGATACTAGTGGATACGATATTGTCTACAGAATGTACTAATTCGTTACATGGTAGAATGTACTTTATGCGATCATACGAAATCCTGAAAACAATAAAATAAAAATCTAAAATGAATTCTTTTAAGAATCAAATATCTATTTTAAATTTTTTTATTGCATTGATATTCAATTATTTTTTGTGAAATTATTCCACTAGTTTGTTATAATTATTAATACAAAGATCTTAAAATAAATATCAAACTCTGTACATAATTTGTATATGAAGATGTTTCCCTTTAAGTACTACAGAGAACCTGCTAAATTTTGGTTTTCAACTGAAGCGTTATATAAGCTATACGTTTATCCCAAAATTTGCTAATAGCCCAGCGGTTTAACGATATGCCGCGCCGCCCAGTGCCCCGGCAGTAGCCATCAGGCGCTTGTCGACATCGTGTCTGTGTCAAATTTGCGTGGTCGTATTTTATTCATATTAATTTACAGCGCGCAGATTGCGGGACGTTAGGGGCGGACCCCCACTCCTCCTCACATCACCTCCTAAAATCGATACTCGCGTTGGCAAACTCACCTCCCAATTCTTAATCCTTTTATTATACCCTTCCAATTTCTTCTGCAGTTGAGCGATGCACAGAGCACTTTTCTGATTCTTCTTCTCAAACACTGCCTTTATACGTTGCAGCTGTTGCTTGTCCGCGTTCGCCGCTAATTTCAGGTACTCGTTTACATTGTCTGTAAAATAAAAATACTAATAAATTCTTTGAAAAAAAAAATGCGCATATAAACACACCCTTTAGTATTATAAAAATTGGGATTCATTTATACAGGCTATCCAAAACTCTGAAATAGCGATCGAACGCATTTGCAATTCTCGCAAATCTTAATATAGCAGAAATCTAATATTGCTCTGTTATCGGTACCCACTTGTGAGCTCGCTTCAGCATTGCACCAATACTGAACGTGTTGTTGTTTATTTGTTTATTTGATGCTGATGTCGGGACTGACCGTACAACTTTTTCAGCACGCGACTTACATGAGTATCTTATATTTAAACTTCTGTGTGAATTTTGTCCTAAACAAACGTCAGAATGTATTGTCAAACTCACCATCTCTTATGGTTTGCTCCAGCCGTATCAGCTCCTTAGTTCTCTCCACTTTGTTGTTCAGATGTGCGATGGCTGCCTGCGCCTTTGATGACGTCACGTTACTTCCATCCAAGTCATCTGACAACATTTTGATGTATTACGTATTATGTTGTGCTCTTTTCCTACAGGTAGAACGGAGTTGTCACGCTGAGGATATAAGGGGCTAGGAGACATCGGGTTCGATTCTCGGCAGAACCATAAAAAGGAAAAATTTTCTATACTGCTTCTGATCTAGATATTCTGTAGGATTAGAACGTCTCGGAATAAAAGTAGTATTAGTATATTTAATAGAAATTGGTTTTGTATTTCTTGGTAACAAGCATTACAATGCAACTACACCAATTACCTGGTGTCCAACTAGGGAATGCCCTTTTTAATTTTATGGTTAATAAAATCTTCTAACCAAATGTTAAGTGTTGTAAAAAATTCGAGTTCCGGAAGTCTACATTTCAAAACTGTTTATTAACCAAAAAAAGAAATAAAAAGGGCATTCACCAGTTTGATACCAGGTTATTGGTGTAGTTAATAGCATAAAAAAATTTAAACTTAAAGAAAATGTAGAGTACGTAATATCAATAAGTCATCTAAATAAAAAAAATAGAACGTGCGATTAGAGAACTATATCATACAACTACGTTACATCGTAGTGAAATAAAGTGAGTATATCAACAAATTCTTCAACTTCTTTCAACAAGTAATGTTTCAAAAACTAATTAATAAATAGGTATTGTACTGCTTTAATTAGGTAGGAAGACTGTTAAACTTTTTTATTATGAAATATTGTTTGGGCTGATTCGACTAATCTTTAGAAAAGAATAGAACAAAAGAAGCAGCCCGCTCAATTGCGGTACGTGCTATCCGTAAACTAAACAAAACTAGTATTTACTCAGGTGAACGGTTGGGGAACATTGTAAAAAAAACTCATTTATTATATGTAGAATACAATATTGTGAAACAAAACATAAATGTATGCTCATTAAAATGTATCAACATCGTTTATTGCGATTTTGTATTTTGTAAAAAGAATACTTTTTGTTAACATATTGAAACAATATATAAGCCGTTCTAACTGATGGCATTAACTAGCCCAATTAATATTTCGTATACTATACATACAACTGCATTATTCTATATTTAACTTAGGTATTATTATACCACCTCTGTCTTTCCTCCTAGTGAGAAATCGCTTCGGGTTTAGTCTCCTCAACACCTTAAGAGAACACCCAGTTACGACAATTAACAACATTACATCAAATAAATACATATAGTAGCTAAATAGTACCTAGCCTAGGTACCTTAGAAAGGTTGTTTGGTTTCATGTACAGAGGGCAGCACATCAAGCTATACATTGATGGATCTTGTTCCGTGACACTGGGGGCGACATTCGAACAAGTGTATATAGCTTGGTGTACCGTTGACTGTATTTCGTCGGCTTATAGCAAGAAGTCATTAGTTGCCATATAATTTATATAGCAATTGATGACTTCTTGCAATAAATCGACGATTTAATATAATTAGGTACAAAATAGTAACAATACTATGAGTATCAGAGCAACGGAACGAAAAAAACACCCAGACCAGAAAAAAATTCAGAAAAGTTAATTTCCCAAATTAGTCCTTCCGGGAATTGAACCCGGGACCTTCTCTTCCAGCGCCCACAGTATAAAGGATCTTATAATTATAACTTGTGAGGACTTCACTCTATTCTGGGTCAAAACCCTAGATTACAGATCACCAGGCCAGCAGGGTCAATAATAACAAATAAAAAAAATGTTTAAAAAACATTATCGCGTTAATATGCATGTAATTGAATGTATTTTTAATTAATTAAATAATCACCTTGATTCGCGTACTCGCTCTCCTGACCTGTGAAAGATAAGAATATATCAATTAGTAATATTATTTTTTTCAGAATTGTCTAAGAGCGAGTCGCACAAAATAAATAATAAAATAAATAATCGTCCTGACGAGCGATTGTCGAATGACGTATTTTGAATAACAATTTGAACTATCGAATGATTCGATATAATGTATCTTTGATTTTACTCGCATTTTATGTTTTTCGCATTTTTAATACTTTTAAAACATTTCATATATTGTATATAGCAAAATATACAAAATTTGTAAGCTCCTCTATATTCTTTCGCAAAGCCCGTACTTTTTTGTTTTTTAGTCTTTATTTTGTCTATCATACGCGTATTTCGTAGTCATTTGTGTTATTTTTTCTTTAATTTCCTATTTAGATAAGTTAATATTTGATAAGTGAAGTATTTACTAACAAAGTATACTGCAGATTGTTTTATCATCGCACTTGCTCGTAAACAGTGTCATGACATGCAGGCAAAGTCGACCGCAATGTCCTAAATATATATGCCCACGGGCTTTTTCATTAGACGCACACACTAATAACGCACACACTAAACATATTACTTTTTTACTCTATGGATTTTTTACGTCAAGATTAAGCAAAAAGTTTTTATGGTGGAAAAATCTGAATATATAAACGTACACATAAAAAAGAAACATTTGCAATTATAAATTACAGTTAATATATATATATATATATATTACTACCGCCCCCTAGTACTCTGCAGGGCCTTCTAGGTGGCGGTAGGGACCACTTTTAGTAGCATTAGAGCTCCTTGTGAAAGAGTTCGTCCGGGTACTGCCACCTTACCTATTTCTGCCGCCAAGCAGTAATGTCAAATTACTGTGTTCCGGTTTTAAAGGGAATGGTTGCTGGACTTGTCCACTATGTCTCAGGGTGACGGGCGCAGTGGCAGTGCCCCTCAGATCTTTGCGATTTAAAGCTCTGAGTGGCACTGCAACTGTTATGGACAGGCGCGTAGCTTACCATCAGGCGCACTTGTTCGTGCCGTCACTTTATATTATAAAAAAAAAAAAAACTTTAGGAAACTATGTTCTAGAACGATGATTCCTAAATAGGTCTATATCGAACCCCAGCGATCCACTCTACCCTAACAAAGAGGCCATAGGTGCATCCAATAGGACCTTAATGGGGTTTCACGAGAGTAGATGATCCACATTACTCAGATAGTACCTATTTACAGGCAGCAGCACATCAAGCTACACATTGATTTTGTTCCATTGCACTGGAGGCGATATTCGAATTGTATAGCTTGATGTTGCTGTTGACTGTACACACATAACACTTTTAATAGACATATAAATTACTCATGAAGCAAAAATTTTGCAACAAACAAAACATTCGGTTAAATAAATATGTTTTTATGAAGTTTCTCACTCTACTGTTAAACTTATCAAAGTGTGTCCTTAGCATTCCGAGGAAATATCCTTCACATTTTCAATAAATTAATGTAACATATTTATAAACTATGTCGTAAATAAAATATTCATAAACCACATAAATTAAACAGTGCTACAGCCAACCGCATACCCAATATCACAATTTAAACATTCTAAAATTTGTAACATTCTTGCATTGACTTACAAATACATATATGGACGACGGGTCTAATACAAAAACCACGAAAAAAATGTCCCAAGTCAACCTATTCGAAATTTAAATTGTTATGTCATCGCAGTATCGCGCTGTCCGTAGAACAAATGAAGACTAAAGCGGAGTGTCGCGCTCTGTATACGATTTTAGCGCCTTACAAGTGCGGACACTTTTTAGCGCGGACCCGACGTCCATATAATTGTAAGTCAATGCATTCTTGTCTTAAATAGTAATTTAAAACTAAGCTGTCGTGTGCACGGAGGTTTCCATTGTAGGAAATTCTTGGATGTACCGTGGAAAAGACAATGAGCGTCAATTTACATTCAAACGGTAATTATTGCGAATATCCTGTCATTTTCCTCAAGTTACAATAAAAAAAAAGCGGTAAAAAGAACTGGCTTGTTCTGGTTTTAGAATATATAACTTAAATACATAAGTAATACATAAGCAAACAGAGTTGTATTGCCCCAAAATCACGTTACCGTGTATAGTGTGGAGAAAGTATACTATTGGTACCTTTGGTTTAACGACCTCAGTGGCCCAACGGTTTGCACTGTGGGCGCTGGTTCAGGAAATCCTGGGTTCGATTCCCGGTTTACCCAATTTGGGGAGTGAACTTTTCTGAATTGGTTGTGGTGGTATCCCGGAGTGAATTTCGTTGCTCTGGTACTCATAGTTAATCCAGGGAATTTCCTAGTTTGTGGGACCAAATAACTGGCGTGGTTGTGTGGAACGTTATTATTTTGTTGAACTACGATACCGCTCTCGGTGTGCCGGTATATTGAAACCAACCAGGCAATGTAAGTGGAACTGGCGTACCTGAGGATTCTGTAGCTTACGTCACAAGTAAAGGCCATAACATCTTATCGAAAACCAATTATTATAGAGAAATCTCCGCTATTTAAATAAGGAGTTATTTATACATACCTCTATAAGCGGGTGAGTATTCGTCTGAAGACAAAGCATAAGACACGTTGGGGCTGAACACAGCGCCTGAGTATTCCGGTGCGAGTATACCCGTAAGAATGGGCTTCTTTTGAGGAGAGTCCTCAAGACTGGAAAATAAATTGTTTAATGGAGATTTGTTACGTTCAAACCATCATGAAGGAGGCATTTTGGCCAACGGATATCATATACCGACTTTTCCGATTACCGGACACCCACGTTGCGTTACACGTCTCTGTCCGTACGTGTAAATAAATAAACAAAATAACAAGTTATTCTAAGGCAACCCCATTCAATATGTACGAAGCACTTTGTTCCCTCCCGGATAGCAAAGGAGTGGAATTTTTTACCTCTCACAAGTGATATCACACTTTGAAACCACTACAACCACTAAACAAAAATCGCGCTTTGTCAAATTTAAACTTATTTTCAGAAACGTTAAAGTTCATTTCTCGAGAGTTATTTTTTCGTTAAGTGACAGCAGTCCACTGAATAATAACTAATAATAACCATTCGATCCGCGATACCGCCTTCAGGTTTGAGTGCTATAAATGTGAGATTTTTTTCTGGATAGATTTGACTTTTTGTGGATTTCACTGTTCGTGTACTCTGCATTAATTGGAATTTGCTTTCAATGTATATGAGTTTATATGTATAGCAAAGGGTCAAATTAAAATTTAATTTTATAATTCTCGCTGCTACATCCAATTATAATAATAATAATAAATATAATTATTAATACAAAGATCGAACACTTAGAAAAAAATCCTTCGATCCAGCCGGATTCCACCCGACGTCTCCTAGCAAACCCTGGCAGACGCTATGCCAGCTAGGCCACAGGACGAATCAGCGAATCTCACGAATTCACCTATGTGCTTGTTGTCGGATCTTTGTATTTGATTTTCAATTATTTTTAGCCGTAGCGCCATCTATGAGAAATCTATGAAAGTATTTCGTCACGTGGCTTAATTAGCATAGTGTCTGGCACGGTTTGTTAGGTCGGTTCGAATCCGGCCGGATCGAAGAAATTTTTTCTAAGTGTTCGATCTTTGTATTAATAATTATAACAAAAAATGTATATAATAATAATAATAAATGTATACATTTAGTACTAGTTGATTATTAGATCTAATGATTGCCAGAACAAAACACTGCCTAATAGAATTTGGAAGAGGATGTTTTTATCGCGTCAGGTCATCTTGTTGTTGACAATCGACGACATGTCGTAAGGAATACTTACTCTCTACTGTTGGCTGTGGTGTTAGCCGACAGTGGGCTGCTTCCCAAGTCCCTGGAATGCGACTTGACGTGATGTGGACCTCGCTCGCCGTGTCGTGATGATGAGCTCGATGACGGCTCCTGTAAAAACAGAAAACGTACATTCCTCGTCCTGATTACTTCGCCAAACTAAATCAAGTCAAGCATAGAGATCCCTGTGAAAGATTTCTTCTAAGGAAGTACTGCCACCTTACTAATTTCTGTCGCCAAGCAGTAATGCGAGCATTATTGAGTTTCGGTTTGGAAGGGTAAGGGTGCTGGTGACGTTACAGGCATATGAGATTTGTCAACTTTTCACAGAGCAGTGGCAGTGACCCTAAGATCTTTGCGATTTAAGGCTCTGAGAGGCACTGCAACAGATAGATAAGCGTGTCGTTTACCACCAGTCACGACTTGTACGTCCCGTCACTTGGTATTTTACAAAAAAATAATCCTTAATGCTTATATAACAAAAATTGAAATTTTTTTAATAGGAAATGATAGTTTTTTCGAGTCTAAATCGCATATATTTTTAACCGTTTTTTAACCGATTTCTAAAAAGGAGTATGTTCTCAATTCTATTGTATATTTTTCTGTGTGTATGTTATGCGATTACTCCCGACATTTGTAAACAGATTTTGATGATTCTTTTTGTTGGAAATTAAATTTGAGAAAAATATTCCACCTCTAAGGGTGGCAAACGAGGCGATGGATCCGGCTTCGCGCACTTTCCGGTAACCGATTCCAATAAAACTTGGCAAGATGTAATTCCACGAACTTACTCTTCAAACCGCAACGCAGAATTGCTCACATTACTGTTTGACGGCAGACATAAGTATGGTACATTATACAGTTACATTACACATTTTAATATATGGGTATTTATTTTTACCGTGTTACTGGAAGGTAGCTAATTATCAGCTGTTATATGTTCTGATTCTGCTATTACTTTTTTATACGTATCAAATACTTTGTGACGTTATACATATACCGGCCATTTAGCGGAACAGAAAAACGAAAATACAAGTAGTAACATTTAGATTTAAATGCATAACAATAAGACCATAAAATCGAAATTGAACACAATGCATTTTTAGTATATTTTGTGAGAAAGCAGAAACGGCTGAAAATTTTAAAATAATAACAGTTTAACATTGGCTAATTCAAAGTTTAATACCTAAATAAAAAATACCTTTTAACTACATGTACGAAACTTAAAAGAACGCACATCCCGAACCACTCGATAAAGTTGTATTAGTAGGAAATTAAAACAAATGAATGAAAAAAATGATAGTCTATTAACTTTTTGTTTTGAAATAAGACTAAATAAAAAGGTTAAACCAGCCAGACTTTTGAAAAAACACTGCATTACTTTGACTTCACGAGTGTCCGGCTAAATGTGCCGGTGCGTGCATATTTTTTGTAATGTATACTTGCACGAGTTGTAAAATCGTTCTAATAGTAAACCTTGTATTAGTGCTCATTACGAATTCGAGGTTATGAAAAAGTCTGTGCAAAATACGTTCATGATAATTGGTAGCCTGCTGCTATTTTTGGATGGACTCTCAGCACGTGTTTTTTGCACAAGAACTCGTGTGAGATCAAATTAATTTTGTTATATATAACTACATGTTATTCTTTTTGTATTATATATTAACATTTCAAACCCCAATTGACAGGAACAATACCATATTATAGTCCTAGACCAGCAAAATGAAAATTGACGACCGTCATAGAAGACACAGAGTTTCATTCGTGTTTCCGTATACTACCTAGTTACACTGAATTTTTTTTTTGTATGGAAAATTTGTACGCACAAAATTTTCTTTTTGAGGTTAAGTAAAAAAAATAATTAACAGTCATGTTAATGGGACACAAGAAAGGTACTTACTAGGACAGACGAATGAAACATAAAAGGTGATAATGATTGTTTAAAAATCTTTAAAAAAATATATTGAACGCTTTATAAATATTTATTTTTGAACGCAGCATAAGAAAAATTTGATATCACATTTTAAGGCTCATATACACTTATCATAATTTCTCCAACGTTAAAAAGATTTCTCATAACTTTGAAGTTGAGAGCCATATTCACGTTAAGGAAGACTTATCGCTTTAGCCGTAGTAAAAGCCAAAGTTGTTACTTACACCAACGTTTTGACAAGTAATTCGTTAGTGTTCAAGCCTTTTAAGTTTCTTAATCCCTTGTCATCTTTGTCAGCTTATTATTTTATAGCCAATGCTCAATAAATAAATAATAAAGCAAATAAACAATAAAATGTCAATAATATAGTAAATTGTAGGGCTATTTTTCATCATTTAGGGAGGAAGGCGTTTAATTAGTCTTTCTACTAGATCTTAGATTATAATTTTAATTGAATCATTTTATTTTCTGACAAATTTTTCGAGGGAAATCGTTATCTTAAAATAATTGTATATTACCGCACACAAAATTAATTCAAGAGAAAAGAAATTTTGGAAATCATGTCAATAATGCAAGTTAACCTGCTTTCAAAAACAAATATATTTTTCATATATTTAAAACAATCATATCTTTTATATTCAAACTAATCTCAGTGTCATATGAATATTATTTTTTAAATTATTTTTGATAACGTATTTAAAATTGTTTATATCCATCTCATCAAGCTGTAGCGATTTCAAAATTTGCGATACCAAATGAGCATGGTGTTTTCAGTAAACATAGTGTAATAAAGAATCCCGTACAACATCTTGTATAACCGATTTGATTACACAAAGCATTTTATACTTGTAATAATAATAACCATTTATGTCGCCAAGCAGTAATGTCAGCATTACTGGGTTCCGGTTTTGAAGGGTAAGGGTGCTGGTGACATTACAGGCACATGAGACTTGTCAACTAATGTCTCAGGGTGGCGGGCGCACTGGCAGTGCCCCTCAGATTTTTGTGATTTAAAGCTCTGAGTAATACTGCAACTGTTATGGACAGACGTATCGCTTATCATCAGGCGCATGACTTGTTCGTCCCGTCATCGTCACTTAGTTATTATAAAAAAATAATAATAATTAAATACCAATTATTATTCTTACAAAGACCGAGCAGACACAGAAAAATTCCGTCGATCTGACTGGACTCACCCTAGTGTTTGTATGCCTAAAAGGGATACTGCTCTTCCTACTGAGCTTTAGACTAAATTATTAATTACGACAGATCTTACGAACTCCTCTATGTGCTTGTCGCGGTCTCTTTGTGTGTTTTTAGGCAGTAAAAACATCATGACATTCATTACAAATAAACATTTAGCATTTTACCACAATGATATTCAATTATTTTTGTCACATTACTCCACTGGTTTGTTATAATTAGTCGGGAGCGCGGCGGGTCTAATTCCCTATTCCCTATTTATATGGACGACAACACTTCGCACGGGCATGTGCGCGCTCCCGACCCGATCTGCGCCCCCTATCAGCACCCGCTCTCTATGTGTTTCAACATTTATTATACAAAGATTGAACATTAAGAAAATATTCCTTCGATCCGGCTGAATTCGAACCAACGTCGTACAGCAAACCGTGCCAGACGCTATGCCAACTAAGCCACGGAACGAACTAGCGGACCTTACGAATTTTTCTATGCGCTTCGTCCAGTGCTTTGTTTTTGCTTTTTTAACGACTTTTTGTCGTAGCGCCATCTGTGAGAAATCTATTTCTTCGTGTTTTGTATTACTTGACTGAAAAATATAAAAAAATAACCTATTTACTTTTACTGCAGTTTTAATTTAGTGTCACTTTTTAATTTACCACTACACGTCCTTTTTAGCACTTTTGAAACAATTTTAAAATGGATTCTGTATTAAAAAAAAAAACTTTAAGGTCACACCTTTAAAAAAATTGCGAGACGCGTTGGTATTGAATTTGCACAAACGCACGTAAAATAGAAATTAATGTCATGACGATACAGGGACTCGAATCCTCAACGTTTCAATACAGAAGTAACCGTTCTGCCACTAACCTACCACCGCCATCATAATCAACTCTGCAAAAACTATTGTGCAGATTTATATTAGTCATTGTGTGTACGTACAATAAAAACTTAATGTTATTTGCGTTGTTTAAATAATCTATATGTAAAAGAATACTAAAAGGTAATAATGTCCCCGTAAAATCTAGGTTAATACAAATCGTAAACCCTAATGACTAGGAGTCCGATTGTCGACTGGTCGTTACCTCTTATTGCTAAGTAATAAATAACCCATTCACCGTACGGTTATTGATTTTGTTTGTCGCGATTGCGAATGAATCTTTTTTTCTTGAGTTATTTGTAAAGTTCTAAATATATACGGGTTTGAACAAACTTTCTGGACATTATGCAATGTTCAGAAAGTTTGCTTTTTATTAAAAACATTTTGCTCTACAACTTACAAAAACTCGTTTTTTAATGATTTCCTAATAAGTCTACCCCTGAAACAAGATAAAATGGGAAGTCAAAAATATTTTCGTCAATATTTTTGAACTTCATAATTCATAACTATCCCTCCGGTTGTGAGGTCGCACCCCTCATGGAAGAATAGCATAAGTGAAGTTACGCCAAAAATGTTTATTGCTCCATTAGATACAGAAAAATATAACCCACATCCACTCCAATACTCGTAACCCTACCGACTAATATTGTCGATAGAGTTACCCTAGGACTCTTCAGCGCCACTGGGGGACGGTAGGGGACTTTAGGAATCTATGGTAAAGTGGCTTAGTTTCACGGTGCATTCGGTCTGAAACTGTAATATCGTGTAACAAAAAATGTATAATGTGTCACTAATATTTTAACCTCAGGGATAGAATGGGAAAAAAGACAGGAATATCAAGAATGGTGTATAGTGAACAAATGAAGATGATCAAAGTGAGCAGCTATAAGGAGGCCAACCTGGCTATGAACCGGGAGAAGTGGAGGTGGCTACACCAACAAGAGTCTAACTCTTAATAATATGATGACTAAGGCTAAACACACACTGGCGCAGGGTCGAAGCGTTGCGACGCGTCTTGTTTTTCGCCCATTGCATATTCATTTCTATTTTCCCATTATTGAGGTACAAATTTGCGTTATACAAATATGGATTCGCGCGTCGTCGCTTGGTTAAAGTCGAGCGGTTTCGCGCGTCGCCGTGCGTTACTTACGCAAGGTGACGCGTAAGACGCCGAGCATAGCGTGGGTCGTATTCCAGAACTCTACTCTAAGCTCAAGTTAAGATTTGAGCAGACTTGAGTATGATTTCTAGTGCTTTGAATCATACTCAAGTCCTGACTTGAGCATTGAGTTGAGTTCTAGAATTCGACCCTGTGATTCGGACGCGCTAATGCGTGCACTAAGCTAGCACTAAAGCACGACGGGGCGCGACTTGCGCGAGAGCAATATAAAGCGCGAGATATTGAAATTGTCTATGCGAGAATAGTAGTATTTAGAGCTTTATGTTGCTCTCGCGCAAGTCGCGCTGTGTCGTGCTAGCCCTACAGAAAACTAGATAAACGTTTTATTTTAATTGCTGTACTATAAATATCACATCAATTTCATTATAATTGAATTATTTAAAAGCGGTGATAATTATTTGGGTCAATATTGTCGTACAAACTGCCTGGGTATCAAAATAATTAGAGAGAGAAGAAAATTATATGCGATAATAATATTTGAATAACGCCGAGCTGTTTAAATAATAGGATTAAGCGCTATCGAGTTTTTAAAAATAACTATACTCATTAGGGCTATCAACTTAACGGTTACGATTAGCGTTGTAATGGTCCGTATAAAGGATCACAAAATTCAACCTTATGTCAATCACGGTTTGACATACTTTTGATTGACGTCGATGCATATGAGAAAATCATTAAAATGAGGTTGATTTTTGACAAATGTATTTTGGAGTTCAAATGCGGTAATATGGGCCCATATTCAGTGTTTCAAACTTCTGAACTTCAGACATGGGTTCCGAAAATGTATGCCATTTGACTTTTAATTTCAATTAGACTTTCAAGGTAGATGATTACGGGCCGGAAAATCTGACGCCGGCTGCTACTTTCACTGCACTACAATTGCTCTATTAAACATGGATATTGTACAAAAAAGGAGGGCTTTCCAAAATTACAGATTTCGGACAAATAATCTTTTAACAGCAGTAGCACTCCTTGTGAAAGAGTTCGTCCAGGGAAGTACTGCCTTAGTACCTTACCTATTTCAGCCGCCAAGCAGTAATGTGAGATTGATTTAAAGCTCTGAGTGGCAATGTAACTGTTATGGACAGGCGTGTAGCATACCAACAGGCGCACGACTTACGTAGTACCGTCGTTTGATATGATTAAAAAAAATCCCACGTCCAAGAATGGCTTATAACAGACTGATGTCATGATTATTCTCGATTTAATCAATGTTGATCGTACCGGGAATCGAAATATTGGACATAACACCTGAATTGCTTAACTATTGAGCCACCTATGGAGTTAAATTCCCGTCCATATTGTCAAATTAATTTTCGTACAATAATCGAATAATTTTAACTTTTACTATACTGAACCAATTTATCATTCATCATATCATAGTCTTTACCGAAAAGTAGGTAAAGGCAAATAAATAGACCAGAATTGTGTATCCAATCATGGCTAATATAAATCCAAGGATTTGAACGAAGTAACCGATCATCAAATCAGTTGTGGAATCATAACAAATATCACTGTGTATTTTGGGTTCTCGTAAACTTTGAACGTAATTCATTTGATGTGAATAATTTCGTGTTGGAAATTATTGGGTGTTACATTATTAACATGCCAACATTTTTTTTAACCTTTATCTTGTGTTTAAAGGGAAAATATTGTTTAAAATTTTAAGTCCTATATGTATATTCTATTAAAGAGCCGTGGTAGAATAATAATTTGACCGTGGATTCAAATACGAACGAGTTTTTCAGACTATGTGAGAAATTAAATTCGAAATTTACCATGAGCTTTTCGGGGAAGGAAAACGTTGTGAGGAAACCGGCACACGTCAGCAAAGCAATTCAATGATGAGTGTAAAGTTCCCAATTGCATTGGACCGGCGTGGAAACTAGCTCAAGCACTCCCATTGCGAGAAGAGGCCCGTGCCTAGCAACGGGATTATATATCGCCCTGTTATTACAATAGTGTTGTAACTCAAAATATGTGAAATTCAAGATTATAACTATCGCTGAACGTAAAATTTGATTCTCTGCAAGTCAATAAAACCGTCGTTAAAATATTGTAAGAAAAAATTAAAATAAATCTACTTAACTCAAAATGAGACAAACTTTTTGTGAGCCAGTTCTGGACAAAACAGTTCTTACTAAAAAATATGAAGTTATTTTTCCTTTTATTGGCAAGTAGAAAATTATACATACATTTTAATTATATTTCGAGGGAAGTAAAAAAAACGTTTCTCATCGTTCACCACTCAAATAATCTCAAATCCTCAAATGTTCACCACTGGTACCATCTCTTATAAAACAGCTCTTTAGAAAAAAAGCGCCCATAACATGGTACCTAAACTCTACAACAAACTGCCACAAAAGTTAAAAATCCTATCCTTGGATATGTTCAGGAGGGAGTTGTCAAGGCAATCGATTAAAAAATGCAATTACACGGTTGATGTATATTTGAATGACAATATAGTGTGAATTACAGTATATATGTTTATAATTGAATTAATTTGATATTTGTTTTGACATTGTATAGATTTATTAGTTGACGTTGTAACGTATTATTTAAAATTTCATAAATTAAGATTAGATTGTACATACATTTTCGTATGCCTCTGTAAGAGGTGCATCATAGCTGTGCTGAAAAGATTGTACACCCTATCATGTTATGACCTATGATGACGAATAAATATATTGATTGATTGATTGATCGTTTCTGAAAAAATACACTTTTTGAGTTAATACACTATTGCATTAATAGTGCGATATGTTTATATAATAATTAAATAAGTATCTATATCAAGAAAATAGCTTACTTTTTAACCGAAAAAAAAAAAAGGAGGAGGTTCTTAAGTCGACTGTATTATTTTGTATATATGTTACGCGATAAATCTAGTTTATGAACCGATTTTGATGAATCCTTTTTTGTTGGATAGAGGGTATGTCAGTATTGGTCCAATTTTTTATTTTGAAGAAAATATTCCAGCTCTAAGGCTGGCAAACTGGGGGATGAATCCAGCGGAAACCGATTTCAATAAAAGTTGGTAAATAAGACTTAATTCTACGAGGTTTTAAATCGGTTTTTTTTAATAAAAAAGTTATATAATATGTTAATAACTCCCTCAATACTTAATAGTAATCCTATACTTAATAACAATTGCTTTAGGAATTGTTGAGCTGCCTAAATAAATATGACAATAGATTTGCATGCCAGTATCGATACAATTTGAGGACAATTTTGTTATGTACCACGCCAGCACATCAAGCTACACATTGACGTATCTTGTTCCGTTGCACTGGAGGCGATTTTCGAACAAAAACATGTAGTCTGATGTGCCGTTGTCCGTACAATCAACAGCACATCAGGCCCTACATTTTGTTCGAAGATCGCCTCCAAAGCAACGAAAAAAGATCCATTAATGTGTACTTTGATATGCTGCCTTCTGTACATTCGTACCACCGTAAAATATATTTTAAGCAAATAGATAAATATCATTCACTCATTCATTCTACGACGTGATGTTCTTTAACAAAACTTATCCAAGACGTGTGGCCCGAAGCTTCTGTTTAAAAGAGATCAGTCCCAGCTAGCGGATTTGTGTATATGGTTTGATATAAAAAAAATCTGCCATCTCGTCGATCCAATGACAAATCTACTTACACTGACATGATGCACTGTAGACTGTGACTGCGCTCTCGATTTAATGACAGCATCATCGGTGACTACAGCAGGGTTTCTCGACAGCTCTGTAGTTGACACGACTGGCTGCGGTATAATGATATTATTACTTATACTGGCAACATGACGCTGACTGCACCGTTGATCTGATGACGACATCATCGGTGACTACAGCAAGCTCTATAGTAGACACGACTAGCTAAGACATAGTGACATAGTCATAGTAAAAGCGTAATGCATTGTAGACGGTGATTGCACTCGTGAATTGATGACTACAGCAGAGTCTCTCGACAGCACTGTAGTAGACACGATCCGATGTGACACAGTAAGAATGTTACTTACACTGACGACATGCCGCACTGTCGATGGTGACTGCACTCGTAGACCTGATGACAGTATCATCAGTAGCTCAGTTCTATAGTAGACACGACTGGGTACGACGTAGTTACATAGCTACACTGATATGATAACATGATCCATTATGGGCAATGTCTGTATAGATGATTTGATGACAGCATAATCGGTGATTACAGCACAGTCTCTCGACAACGCTGTAGTAGACACGACTGGATCATGACATGGTGAGAAAGTTACTTACACTGACAACATGATGCACTGTTGACGGTGACTGCACTCTAGATCTGATGACAGTATCATCAGTGACTACAGCAGGGTCTCTCGACAGCTCTGTAGTAGACGGGGATTGACTTCGACTTGAGCCTTTGCTATGCCCTGTCACGTGTAGCGTGTCCATAGCTTTCTATTAACTGAAAAAGGGGAGAAAGTAATTGATGTATGAATTTATAATTTGGTACTTAGCTAGTTATGTATGGCTAGCCTAATACGTTGGACAATAGCTGCCAGTCCTTGGGTTTCCCATTGCTATATTAAGACCACTTTTGTGGCCCAAGGGTTTGCTTGCAATGAAGGCGCTGGACATTAGGGGAAATGAACTTTTGGAAGTTGCTTTTGATTTGAGTGTTTTTCCGCTCCTCTGATACGCATAGCGGAGAGAACTCCCTAGTTTGGGACCGGGCATTTGATGTGGTTGTTTAACACATTGTTTCTTTTATTATATGAGAACACACACATGGTTATCACTCTCATTGAAACGAAACTAAATTCACGAAATAAAATGAATTAGGTATTCTATATGTTCAAGTCGAGTGGAAAAATGAAAAATAGTCGCGCCGTCAGATGAGGAGATCAGATCCCTGTAGTAAAAATTTTTAGTACCGTTCAGATATAACGCAATTAAGTACACACATCAAAAAAAGTTTGCGATCAATAGCATAAACTCCTATAATTCTTTAAATTTAACTTTATCAAGAAAAAATCTATGTTGTATGCTTTCTTTAAATAGGAATACCCTGTTTGAAATTAAAATATAAAACTATTTTTTATTATTTATTTTAAAAAATTGAGCCATTAATCATAATGTAATAGTGATAGAAATTTCATAGAAAGAAAAAGACTGTTTAATTAAACTTAAACAACAATTTATTATTAAAAGGTGTGAATTCAATATAAAATAACTCCTCCCCTGGCTCGAATACATGCGAAGATCCTCCTGGGCATGCTGAGGATCAAGTTATCCAGCATTTCCTGGGGTAACCTATCCCATTCTTCAATAGCGGCTTCCCTGAGCTCTGGAACTGTCTGGGGACGTGGCTCACCGTTCCATACTGCTCGTTTAAGAGCATCCCACGCATGCTCTATTGGGTTTAAGTCGGGCGAGCCGGCAGGCCAGTCTAATCGTGTGATATCGTATTCTTGAAGAGCAGCATTGACTCGTTGAGCTCGATGTGCGGGCGCATTATCATCGACCAGTACAAATTGGTGCCCATGGTTTACTCGGAATGGTCTGACGATATCATCAATAGCAACTGCTTTGTACATGTCTGCTGTCATGAAGCCCCGATACGGGATCAAAGGCGTTCTAGCTCCAATCATAATGCCACCCCAAAAGGACACCGATTTTCCGCCTTGCTGAACTGTTCCAGTGGCAGTTCTTTGTCTTTCACGGTCGCCTGGTCTTCTCCAGACACGGACACGTCGGTTATCTGGATGAGTGCTGATTCGGGATTCGTCAACGAAGAGACAGTTTTGCCAAATGTTTTCGTCCTCACCTTCTTCATTTTGCCGAAGTCTAGCCCACTGCAATCTTCGTTGTTGACGTTGCCGGGAATTGAGCGGAGCTCGCCAAGACCTCCGTGCTCGTAATCCAGCCTGGTGCAAGCAATTGCGAACGGTCTGCGTGCTAACTTCAAGCCCAGAGGCGGCCCCGACTTCTGCTTTTATTTTAGTGGCGTTGATTGTTGGATCACGGGCTGCCAGCAATCTAATATAGCGCTTTTGGGCAGCTGTCAAAACAGTTGGGCGACCGCTGCGGGGTCGGTCAGCTAAATTCCCCATTCCGTGATACCTCTGCAACGTAGCCACGACACAGGATTGGGATATAGCAAGTCTGCGTGCTATTACTCTCGTGGTGTATCCTTCTTCCCTCAAAGTTACTATTCTAGCTCGTAAAACCTCTGATAATCCTCTTGGCATTTTTTCAATCACAACTTTCCGCGAAAAATATCTTGAATCGCTTATAATTGACTAAATCAGATTTCTGAATGAGCGTAAGCTAGGACTGAAAGCCTTTTTATATGAAAAAACAATTGAACGGGGTCATTGTTTTATGTTCTAATTTATTTTTAAATAAAGAATCTAAAAAGAAGAAAAAATCATAATATAATCTACAGTAACAAAAAAGATTTCAGTTTTTCGAAGTGATCGCAAACTTTTTTTGATGTGTGTAAGTCCCATGTATATTAAAAGTACACTACATACTATAAAAGTTCTTGGTTTTCAAAACGCTTCATTTCCATACTTACCCTATAAGCGTGAACAAAAATACATGTATCACAAGTTCTTTATCAACCACAGCGGGATCACAGACATAACAGCAGGAACTACTATGGAACGTATTGCTTTGCTGGTTAGGTTCACTTCAGGCGTAACGCTTCTTCGGATTCCTCCATTCCTCGAGTAGAACCTGGAAGAATTTAAAAAAAATTAATAATCAGCCTTCGTAGTAACAGCATGTTGTTAACTTCAGAGTCTCGACCGTCTTATCATAAGTAACAAGAGTAGAATTTAAATTTTTATGTCTAAAGGGAGACACGCCGTTGTCCGCTCAGAATATTAATTTGCCGGAAGCTTTAGCAGCAACGGTATGCCGTTGCTGCATCTCGAGAAACATGCATGAAGGGGTTTGCTAAAATTGATATGCAAAGTGTTGGGCAGTTTGAGTGGGAGAATATATCCTAAGGCAGTCACCACATTTATCGGTGCAGAACCCGATCATATTTTACCTAAATTGTTAAATTTAAGACGATAGGTCGTCGTTGGCGCTGTACTGATGCGATGGGAAATTTGTAGGAAGCCGATTAGTCGCCAGCCTGTGTGGAGTGTCGTACGAGACTAAGCGAAATGCGCAACAACTTTTTGGCTCTTATTGCATGTACTGCGCATGATGCCTCGGTGGCTGAACGGTTACCATGCCGGACTGCCACGCAGAGATCCCAGGTTCGATTCCCGGGCCGGGAGAAATATTTGTATGGTCTACATTTACTTCTGTCGTGAGTTAGGGTGTAATTTGTGGTTGTCTATGTGTGTGTCAATGGCACCCGCGACACAGGGTTTCCCTGGTGCGCTACAACTAAAAAGTCGTTAAAAACTAAATACAAAAACACGACGCAAGCACATAGAAAAAAATTCGTGAGGTCCGCTGGTTAGTTCCGTGGCTTGGTTGGTGTAGCGTCTGCCACGGTAAGCTAGAAGATGTCGGTTTGAATCCCGTCGGATCGAAGGAATTTTTTCTGAGTGTTCGATTTTGTATTAATAATTATAACAAACTAGTAGAGTAATTTCACAAAAAATTATTGAATATCAATTCAATAAAAATTTAAAAATAAACATAAGGTTTACAAAGGGTTGACAAAATAAGAGAGTACAGTACAAACGCGGCTTGCAAACCAAACTTTTCGAAATTGTAATGCTAATAGGATAGGACATAAATCTTTTTTTACCGGCGCGGAGCCTGACCTGAGAAATAGCCCACAATTAGTAGATAAATAGTTTATTAAACGTAACAAGTAATTGCTATAGCATTTACATGAAACGATAATAATACCACAGACAATTCATTATACAATTTGACCAGTAAAACATACAAAGAAACATTATAATAAATTTTTCTCCTATTTTCGCAACAGAACGAAATAATTGAGTGAGTTTCCTTCTAATCCCCAAAACGACTTAAACAACCCGTGTGGGATTTTTTCATTATGATCTTTTCTTTTTTGGACCCTGCACTTTATAGTTGGCCCCTGCAGACGTTGACTGCGTCACCAGACAAAATATTGAAATGCAGTAACAATTATTCCTGCTTACGTGTCTATTTTCCAATTACATTTCAGTGCCCCCAAAACATAACCAATAACAATAATTATCGCTCACGTATCTATTTTTGCTCTCGACCAATCACACTTCAATACAGTGACAGCATGCCTTTTGCGATTCCGCGTCGATAAGTGTATTGATTCCCTTAGATGACAAAAAGTAAAACGTTTATGGTTAGATGATAAAAAGTCAGAAGCGCATAGGTAGACGACAAAAGGCATGACTTTTTGGGAGATGACAAAAAGTGGCAAGTTTACCGGTAGTCACAAATTGCGGCTTGACAACATACGGAAGCAATTTCTCACCAGGCACAAACGAAGTCTTGTACAAGTATGGTCATCTATTATGCGGACACACTGACAAGTTTGCTATATTATGCTAAACAGATTTGTATTTACACACTTAATTAATGCGCCAAGACCTTACTGCGTACTTAGTGTCCTTGTATAGGGAATCGTGAGTTCCTTATTCTATAGTCTAATAATATATTTATTGTAGTATAAAAAAGTAAACCCGTCAATGTCATCAAAGCAGTAGTAGAAGTAAAAGTTTTAGTACCACTCGAGTTCCTTATGAAAGACATCGTCCAAAGAAGTACTGTCATCGTACCTATTTCTGCCGCGAAGCAGTAACGTGAGCATTACTGTGAAACAGTTTTGAAAGGTGCTTATGGGACTTGTCAACTTATGTCTCAGGATGACGAACGCAGTGGCAGTGCTCCTCAGATCTTTGTGATTTAAAGCACTGAGTGGCATTGCAACTGTTACGGACAGGCGTGTCGCTTACTGCCAAGCGCTCGATTTGTTCGGCCTATCACTCGGTATTATAATAAAAAAACCGCAAATTTTAATGAATTAGTCATCGAGTTGTTTTTAGTAATAGTGAATTAGGTATGGCTCAATTCACATTGCTGCGGAACGGAATGGAAGCGAATTTTTGTAACGAAATTATACATAGCATGTCAATTGCACTGTATGTCAAGTGTGTGATGTCCAAACCATAAGATAGCTGCTGTTCCCGAGAATTCTCCGGAAAATGCGCGAACTGTTCTTTGCTTCTTCAATTATGCTATGGTTCCGAAAATTCGCTTCCATTCCGTTCCGCGGTAACGTAAATTGAGCCTAAGTGGTAATTACATTTATGATATGTGAACAAACAGCTTCAGAAAAAGAATTCGCGAATACAGAAAATCAATAGATTTCCTATAAAAGTGGTGCACTATCAATCAGCCACTACGAGGCAGGTTAAATGCAGTACGACTTTAATTTTACATCCTGTACATGTTAACAATAAGGAGTACTTTAACTTTGAGTCATTTTATTTTGTACAAACAGCTTATATAGAAATATAATAATAATAATAAAATTAACAATAGGATGTTTCCTACTGATAGAAATTCAATAAGTAACAATTGAGCATTGACATTGCGTATAAGTACAGGGTCAAATGCAAGTCAAGCTTGACACTAAAGGTTTAAATTCAATTGTATGCCGCTTTCAATAAGAACAAAAAACTTTGTCGATTACTGTACAAAAGATTTTGTAGATTTTTTAATGCCTGTAAAATAGTTTCAGGCGTACATTTTTTTATTTCTTACCAATCCAATTCTGTTTTCAAATTTCACTAAAATTTATATAATTTTTAATGGAAAGAAATGGCTTTATTTTAGATTTGTATGTAATACTCTATTGCCTACTGAGGCTTCAGAATGAACCTCACTAAATTCCGGCAATCCGCATGGAATATTTAATATCTTGCACCAAAAACACCATGAGACTATAAAATACTGTAATGATACAATTAATGAATACTACAAATTTGTCGTGTGGTATGGAGGAGTGGTATATTCACTTTAGAATCTATGCAAATCTAAAATAATATTTACAAAGAGTTCTTTTGCATACACAAAATTTAATTTTTTTTTTGCCTTAACTACAGCCAAAGTTTTTGGATAGGCCAATTACAGCTATCCACGAAAATCAATTATGAGTGTGGACTTATCTACAAATAAACTATACTTCATTTCGTTTTATAAGTACATACCTATTAATTAATTTCATACTACTATAAATGCTTTTCCATAATTATTATCGCAACGCTATAGAAACAATAGCTAATTATTTATATTTTTTCCACGTTATTATTGCGCATCATTTTGAACAGTATAATGTATGGTATGAATCACTTTAACATATATCATTTGAACTAGACTCGTGTTAATAAACAGCTCTTAATTCCGGTATTAAATGAGTATAGGCCGAGATATTACTCAGATCTTGAGATGCACCTCGAGCTTCCTGTATAAATACACAATAATCATTAATCATCGATATCTTGACTGGTATCATTTGTAATTACCAAGACCGTGTACTAGATTGATTAAGACTTAATAACGAACTTGAGCCGTAGCTTATGCATTGAGTTAACGTTTAATAATAAACGTATATTTGTACGCTATTAGATTCGACATTCGAGTACATTAGTAGTAATAAAGCTTCTTGCGAAAGAGTTCGTCCAGCTAAATACTGCCTCCTTACCTATTTTTGCCGCCAAGCAGTAATGTCAGCATTACTGTGTTACGATTTTGAAGGGTACGGGTGCTGGTGAAATTACAGGCACATGGGACTTCAGGGTCACGGGCGCTGTGGCAGTGCCCTTCAGATCTTAGCGATTTAAAGCTACGAGTGGCACTACAACTGTAATGACAGAGGTGTAGTAATCGTTAACAATAACGAAAACTACAACCAAAAAACACTAGAGATGTTTGAATTAATGCGGGCCTAAATATTGTCAACTTTAAGAACACAATACTCACCCCAAAACGGCTTATGTCACGATTTAATAATAATCGACGTGACGTTTAACAATAAGGAAATTATGGGCACGTCCTGTCGTTTCAAGAGTTTTGATGAGAGCGACGACGGATCTAAGAAACTTGAGATTAGTGAATGAAAAGGAAATTAGGGAAGTATTCAAAATTAAAAAAAAGTAGGAAACCAGTAAAGATAGGATTATAAAAACGTGGGTTGTCGATGAAGGAGGTCAGAATCGTCACAAACGCACTTATTTCTGCCGCCAAGCAATAATGTAAGCATTACTGCGTTTCCGTTTTGAAGGGTGGTGGTGAAACTGCGACTACATGGGACTTGTCGACTTTATGTCTCAGGGTGACGGGCGCACTGGCAGTGGTCTTCAAATTTTTGCGATTAAAGTCTGTGTGGCACTGCAACTGTTATAAGTAGGCGTGTCGCTTACCGCCAGGCGCACGACTTGTTAGTCCCGTCACTTGATAATCATAAAGCAAATCATAAATATTTTTTACGCACACACCCAACATAGCCGCCCCGCACTAGGTAACCGCAGGGTCGCGAGTGCCATGGACACATACATAGACCACAAATTACACCCAAACTAATGAGAGAAATAAATGTAGGCCACACAAATATTTCTCTCGGCTCGGGAATCGAACCTGGGACCTCTGCGTGGCAGTCCGGCATGGTAACCGTTCGCCACGGAGGTAGTTTAAGAGGCAGTAATTTGATAATTATAATTTGAAATTTTAAGTAACGAATTGTGACCTTTTTTGTCGGA